AGAAAGGTCGGGAGTCAGCCGAGAAGCAGTATTGTTTGGAACCAGATACAGCTGTGTCTCTCCAGTCAATCCCAGCTATAAAAGTTGAAGCCAGCTTGTAAAGTGGGGTCCTTATCAATACTAATATGGACCCCTCTGACATTGCCCTGGTGTCAGTGAGCATTCTGTATCCCAGCGACAGAGCCAGAGGGACCAAGGGCATCTAGAACGTTCTTTGAGGGCGCCCGGACACCTGAAAACATCACCTGGAACTTGGACTAATGGTCGGAGAAATAATAATTTTGAGACAGTGTATTTCATGTTAGGAGGATGTCTAAAGATGCTACATGTGATATACTGAAAAGTGTAGTGACTGATTTTGTAGGCGAATGTGACAACCAATTTGTGCACAGCAATATCATGCAACAGCAATGACATGATTGACAAATTTTATCTGGGGAATTGTTGGCAAGGATAGGGACAGAGAGAAACTCCCTTCATAAGAACATAAGAATTAGGAGCAGGAGTCGGCCATTCAGCCCCTCGAGCCTGTGCCCCGCCATTCAATAAGATCATGGCTGATCTTCAGACCTAACTCTGATTACCTGCCCTCTCCCCATATCCCCGAATCACTCAGTTTTTTTAAAAATCTATCAGTCTCAGCCTTGAAGATGTTCAAGAACTGAGCATCTACAGCCTTCTGGGGGAGTGAATTCCATAAATACTACCCTCTGAGTGAAGAAATGTTTCCTCAACTCTGTTCTAAAAGGCTGACCCTTAATTTTCAGACTGTGACCCCTGGTTATAGATTCTCCCACCAGTGTCTACTTTATCAGCCCTTTAAGAATCTTATGTTTCAATAAGATTTCCCCTAATTCTTCTGTACACTAGAGAATACAGCCCCAGTTTATTCAGTCTATCCTCATAGGTCAGTCCCCTCATCCCAGGAACTAACCGAGTGAATCTACGCTGCACCCCCTCGAGGGCAATGATGTCCTTTTTTAAATAAGGAAACCAAAACTGCACACAATACTCTCGGTGCGGTCTTACCAAGGCCCTATAAAGTTGCAGCAAGACTTCCCTACTCTTGTACTCTAAACCTTTTGCAATGAACGCTAACTGCCGTTCGCCTTCCTAGTTTCTTGCTGCACCTGCAAACTAACTTTTTGGGACTGGTGTACAAGGACCTCTGAACACTAACACTATCTAATCTCTCCCCCTCTAGAAAATAATCTGTTTTTCTATTTTTTCTCCCGAGGTGAATAACTTCACACTTCCCCACATTAAATTCCATCTGCCACCTACTCGCCCACTCCCCGAGCCTTTCTATATCCCGTTGCAATCTTTTTACATCATCCTCAGAGCTTACTCTCCCACCGAGTTTAGTGTCATCCGCAAATTTAGATACGTTACATTCAATGTCCTCATCCAGATCATTGATGTAAATTGTAAATAGCTGCGGCCCAAAATCCGATCCTTGTGGACTCCACTAGTCACCTCCTGCCAATTCGAGAATGACCCGTTTATCCCTACTCTCTGTTTTCTACCCGTTAGCCACTCTTCAATCCATGTTAATATGTTCCCATTAATCCCGTGGGCCTTAACCTTGTGCAATAGCCTTTTGTGTGGCACTTTGTCAAATGCCTTTTTAAAATCTAAATATACTACATCTACTGGTTCCCCCCCATCTAACCTGCAGATACATCTTCAAAAAACTCCAAAAGATTAGTGAAGCGTGACTTCCCTTTTGTAAAGCCGTGTTGACTGCCTCATCTTGTTATGGTGCTCCAGGAATCCCATAACAACATTTTTAATAAGGACTCAAGAATTCTCCCTCCCACTGATGTCAGACTAACTGGTCTATAGTTCCCCATCTTTTCTCTCCCACCCTTCGTAAATAGTGGTGTTACGTTTGCAATCTTCCAATCAATGGGAACCGTTCCAGAATCCGGAGAATTTTGGAATTCTCTGGATTCTATTTTCTAATAGTGCCAAGGGAGTTTAATGTCCGTCTGAAAAGGCCGACAAGACCTGGGTTTAATGTCCTATTTGATGGATCCCACTTCCAACAATGCAGTGGAGGCTCCCCCCAGCATGGTATTGAAGCACCAATCTAGACTGCGGTCCGTTGTGGGTCTTGAACCTGCACCTTTTTGACTCAAAGAGTGTGCTGCAAACTGAGCTAAATTGACACCAAGAAGAGAAGGAGGAGCTTGCAGGTAGGCTGAGGAGGAAAGATGAAGGATAAAGATGGGGAGTGAATTTAAGTTTTCTTTCACCAATGTAATGATTTACAAATCCTGACTTTTGCCCCACCCAATGGAATTAAGTTTTAGCTTTCACTTTAGATGTCTTGAGATTGCCCACAGTCCAGTAATATATTGTGCAACCTGTGCATTCACCAAATGCACAAAGATGAAATGAAAAATGCATGAAAATTAAAAATGGTCAAATGTAAAACTGTCACTCGCAACATATTTTTTGTTTATTTGTTTACTATTTTTCAAAACTGACAGTTGCAATTCAAAAAGTGCTTTCAGAATTTTCCTTTTTAAAGCGTGCGCACAATTAGCATATTGTTAATTTAACGCAATCAATGTTGTTAATGTTCCGCCACTCTGCTCCTACCCTCTGAAACTCCATCCTGCAGTCCCTCCGCCTCGCTCCCTCCCTTGCCACCTTCAAGACCCAGCTCAAAACTCTCCTCTTCGACTATGCTTTCGATCTCCCTGCTTCACCCCTGCCCTCCACCCTCCCCAACCCTGGCCCCCAGCTCAGGTCCGTAACTCTGTCCAGCACCTTGGGACGTTCTTCCAACGTGAAGGGCGCTCTACAAATGTAATTTTGTTGTTGTTGTATCAGCTAGAATTATGTGTTTGAAGCATTTGCCTTTCCATGTGCTTTAATAGTACAATACAATTTCCATTTATATAGTGTCGTTCATGTTGTCAGGGCATCCCAAAGTGCATTCACAGTGCTGGATGGGCACCCAAGCTGAGAGGAGGAGAAAGATGACCAGAAGCAAGTCAATAAGGTGTGTTTTTAGATATGCCTTGAAAGAGGAGAGTGAATCAATTGGATGGACTGTGGAATGGAGTTAGAGAAAATAGGTGCAGAATGGCTGAAAGCCTGCCCATCGGTGGTGGTGTGGATAGAGTACGAAGCAGGCCTCTCCCTGAGGAAAGGGAGAGAATGGCCGCGAGCATTAGGCCTCCAAGGCATCTAAGAAGACGACCAAGGTTCCCATTTTTATATGAGGGGAAAACTACTTCTTTGAAAGCACTGAGATGAATGTATTTCTCAAGTATGCAATACAATTTCATATTTATACGGTGTTTTTCATTTTGTGAGAACATCCCAAAGAGCTTGTCACTGTTTCCAGGGGGTGAGAACCAAGGTTGGGCGGGAGGGGAAAGAGTGTTGAAAGAGATATGGTTTGAATATGACAGTAACTAGACAGTACAGGGCAACCCTGACTTATGAACCATATGATGGTGACCGCCACAAAGAATTGATCCTGACACTCCGTTGCCAAATACGTTACCTTGGAGCTAGTTCAGCTCTAACGGAGTGCTTAGTCACCTTCTCCCCCACCCAGGAGGATGTGCAAAGCACCATTTAAAATGTGGTTGGATTATGGACTATCATTATCTGGCTAGCAGAGGTTGGGATATGCGCTTGAAAAATCAAGGTTAAGTCTCAAGAGACAAGAGACTCAAGAAAAAAAGCCGAGACTTTGCACTTGGCTTTTTTTTGTACCAGCCTCCATCCTTACGTTATATCCCACTTTATGACCTTGCACCTCCCTACTTATCCGACCTGCTTACCCTGCACTCCACCACCCATTGCCTGCGCTCTGCTGACTCCGGCCTCCTGTTTGTCCCTCGGTGGCTATGCCTTCAGCCACTACACCCCAAAACTCTGGAACTCTCTCCCTCCTCTCTCCACCTTGCCCCCTCCCTCTCCATGTTCAAATCCCACCAAGAGATCCTCCTTTTTGATTGTGCTTATGGTCACCTACCCCTCCCTCTGGCTCGTTGTCAGACTCTGCTCCGGGACGCTACCCTGCGTGAAGGGCACTATATAAATGCAAGCTGCTGTTGTGATTCCTCTCCCATTATTTGACAAGGAGAGGTGTCAAAAAGGGAAATTTAGATACAGAAAGCATATTTATGTCATTGTGATACTTACACAATGATATGGAGATATTTGTGTTGGTGCAGAATGCAAACCTACACACTCCAAATCTCTGACATTTCATTTTTGACTTTAATGATAATAATTATTCTTGCATTTGTTATAGTGCTCGTCACGTCTTTGAAACATCTCAAAGCCTTCACAGAATATATTGTAAAGTGAATTGACTATTTTTTGGGCAAAACGCAAAACATATTGTGAAAGTAACTGGTGTTGCAAGATCTAACCCCTTCTTTTTCACAAATCGTCTCCCTCAGATGATACAATACAATTTACATTTATTTAGCGTCTTTCACGTCGACAGGACATCTCAAGGTGTTTCTTGTATTGTGTCCAGAATTGGGAATGTGCTGTTGAAGATTTTCCTCATAGTTAGAAACTGTACATAATCCTTCTAGTGACTTAGAATGTATATAGATATAAGAATTATTGAGAGGAAGAGAAAAGTTTATGAAAGAGGAAAACAAACTTGTTTGAGAAGATAGAATCATAAAATTATACAGCATAGAAAGAGGCTATTTGGTCCATCGTGTCTGTGCCGGCTCTTTGAAAAGAGCTATCCAATTCAATCCCGCTCCCCCGGTCTCTCCTCATAGCCCTGCAAACTTGTCTTCCCCATATAATTATCTACTCTCTTACAAGCCCCTTATTGAAATGGTTTATTCAATAGGACTACTGTCCGAAGATAGGACTGTACTGTCATTTGAGATCAAAGATGAGTGAAAGGTTATGAGTGACAGTAAATTCAAGGACATGGTGGATGGTGCTTAAGACTCGAAGAAGCTGTATTACTACAAAAAAAATACTTTAAGTACATCCAAATATTGCTTTTTAAACATGTATGGTTGATTTATTTATTAGAACTATTAGCAGCGGATAAACATTTTCTTTTGCACAGAGAGTAAGAATATTTATCATCTAAGGTAATAAATACAAAAAGTTCCTCTTGGGTTAATAGTACAATTGTAGCATTAGAAACTGAGCACTAAGCAGAAATAAAAGAGTAATTAATAATAAACAGCAATAGTGTAAGCTTTGAAACTGCTGAGTTGCCAAATTTTACTAACAAAATTAATTTAATTTCCTGTTTTATCTTAGCCGGGAATCTTTATGTTAAGATCTTTGGTTTAATTTACGCCTGCTTTAACTGCCTCTTCATATTTGCTCGCCTAACACGTCTTTGCTTTTTATCCTCAGGTTTGTATTCTTGAGGCCCGTTTTTGTGGCTTTCTGATTTATTTTTGTTACTGTTATTGGACGTACCTCCTTTACTCAATGATAGATTGTGTTTGTTTTCTTTTGAATTATTCAAGATAGTTTTTACTTCAATTAGGTTGCTTGTATCTGAGCTTGATTTTCCTGAAGATATCCTGCTTTGACTGGTTGTGTTTGTTATTTCCTCACAGTTCATTTTTACACAATTACATTCGTCAACATAGATGTAACGGTGCTGAATAGTGGTTCCATCGGGACACAGCAAGAGAATTTCCTTTTCGTGTGTCATTGTCTCTTGACAGCAAGTGCACTTATGGTCCATTGAATTTGCTTCTGTAGAATACCTATTGATGGTTAGAGGTGACATAAAAGGTTGAAATGTGAAACATAGGATACTTTTCGAGGCAAATGAAACAACAAAACTGGTGGCAAATATTCCTAATGAAAAGCTTGATACATACATGGAGTGAGCATCACACGTCCCTTCACATGATGCGGTTTCCGCCTCCTCTAGAGCCACACAGCCTTCGTACTTAATCTGGGTCTTTTGTCTTAGACGCTTACAAGTCTCCTTCTCATGACCTGTGGTTGTGAGTTAAATATGGCAATTTAGAATACCATACTGGACTTACATTATGGAAGGAAAAGAACAGTAGTTATGTAAATTATGGATGACCAAAAATGACTTTTCCAGCCAGAAAAAAGGATGTTCATTAAGACTTGAAGATGTACTACACAAGTCCTCAAACTTGTAAGTCAAATCCCTAATAGTCTTGGGCAGATAAGTTTCATGAAATTTAGCAGTGTTTCATACAATTTGCTGATTTGATGATGCAAATAGTTATTAAATAGTGAGTCCTACATTTTCAAATAGAAAACATAAAGATTATAAATATTCGGTACTCACATGTTTTACAGCAGCCATTTTCAGTTATACTAATTGTTCCCTGTAACAGAAACCACAATTTTCATTGCAAAATCTTAAACAGTATCATTAAAATCTGTTACGTTTAACTATATTTCATAAAATGAAACTGCCAATCTGATGACATGAAGATCTGTCTTGAATCCAAACAAACATGTTCATTTTAAAATTCACACAAAACTACAATTAAGCATTTGTTTTAGAATTTGTGCATACTCACCGGCTCACAGTTATCTTCATCAAAATCCGGGCAAATGATTTTGGAAACATTAAGTAAAAGAAAGTCGTGTATTTGTGTGCATCCAAAAACCGTACAGTTGTTGTAAGGTGAAGGCAATTCATCCCCAGGCTAGAATGTTATGGAAATAAAGATGGAAATGAGATGTAAAAAGTATCCATAAGACTAAGTAAAATAATAATGATTGGTTCTATGTCATAATATACATTGGCAAAGATAAATAGTAATAAATCTCTTTATTTTTATCTAATAATATATAATATTTTATACAAACCGGCAGTAGAACGACAGGTTGGTCACCAAGATCTACCAAGCATTTAACTTGGACACATTTACCACAGCATTCATCTGTCATTTCTTGATATTCAAAACCCTGTTACAAAATAATGAGTTACTTACATTAAAAAGGTTAGAATGTCAATAGCTTTCCATAATTTTTGAAATCATATTTTACAATTGCAATAGATATCCAGCATTAATCATTTTTAGGGTTTTTAAGAGTTTTTCTTAATCCCAGTTTTCTCCTCTTGTCCAACAGGGCACATGTCATTCATGGACCATCTGCTCCGAGGCTTGTCTGAATTGACCATTAAGCTTGCACCCCACTCCTCTATCCCCTGCGATCCGGGCTACATTTGTGGCTGAGCCTCCAGGTCCTATGACCCTGACCTCCAGAACTTCTTCCCTCCATCATTCCCATCTTGCCCCCTTCTCTTTCCATCTTTAATTTCCACGTCAAATACTACCTCTTCGAATGCACCTACGGCCACCTTGCTTGGCATCCATTCCTGTCCCTGTAAAATGCTCAGAGACGCAACCCTATATGAAGGGTGCTAAAATACAAGTTGTTGCTCATCACATCTTGGCTATATTATTCAAATGCCTGACTAACTGGAATCCCCTGTTCCTCCCTACACAAGCTGTAGCCATCCAGAGCTCTGTAGCTTGTGTGTTCTCCAACATGAGAATCTGTCAGTCTATTACTTGATTCCACTGGTTCCCTATCTCTCAGCAGATTGAATTCAAGATTCTTTCATTTAAATCCCTCCATGGCATTTCACTACCTTACCTATGTGACTGCCTAAAAGCGTATCACCCCGGCAGTTTCAGCTACTCATTGAACACCTGGCTGCTTCATATTCTTCGCCCGACCTACCCCACCATCAGTGGATGAGCTTTCAGCCACTCTTTTACTGTTTTCTGGAGCTCCATCCTGGAGCCACTTGCCTTGTTCCTCACTCCCCATCTTTATAGCCTGATTTAAGACTTTTGGTAATCTACCCCCTCCGCCAGCTTAGGCTCCTAGTCAGCTCTGTGAAGCAACTATGAGATGGCGTCCTGATTTGAAAGGCGCTATAAATATGTAAAATTGTAGTTCACTGCTTTCTCCCCACCATGTATTCACTACAAACACGTACTTGAATAAGAATCAAATATATGAATTCTTACTTGTTCGCACTTCTTGTTACATTCAACATTTTGGCAACTAATTTTGTTTAGCTGAGTTTCTGGGTTGGTTTCATTGGTACATGTACACCTTTGACATTTGCTTAAAGGAATATCTGCTCCGGGCTGTACAGAGGAGAGAGAACAGGTTTTTTAATTGTTATATTTTTACTTAAATTCAATTAAGTAAATAACATTTTCTTAAAATTGCAGAGTGGAGGGAAAGGACAGGTTGGTAAGGTTTTAGAAGGTTACAAAGGTCTACTGATAAAAAGAAAATCAACTTACACGATACTCTGCCCCTTCATTTACACATACACCCATTGGTTCTGCGGAAGAGAATTGACAAACACAATTTAGTAATGTCACAGACTACAATGCACAAATCAAACAATACATTCAGTAAAATAATTTAATTAAAGTACCATATCAATCCTACACAATAGTATTATTTCATGGGCACCAGAATTCCATATCGAACACTGGTATAAAACCATTGATATGCAACTTATACTAATATTAATTTGCATTTTTAAAGAGCTTTTCATGAAAAACAATGTCTCAAAGCTCGTGACAAATAAAATACAGTTTACATTGATAGAAATCATTTATTTAAATGTAGTAGTGGTAAAAGCTTTATTCTGTAGCAAGATTGCAAGTAAGAACAAAAACAGTGCATTGGTTAAAACTTGGTTCATGGAAGTGATATTTTTGTAATGAGAATTTTATTCAACCAAAAATACCCCAAATTCAGTTCTTACACAACTAAGTTAAATATCCTACTACTTTATAATAATAATAATCCTTGCATTTGATATAGCACCTTATCATGTGTCAACTATTGTGACGTCTCAAAACACTTCACAGAATATACGGTGAATTAACTATTTTGTGGGCGAAACGTGACAACCAATTCGGAAAAACGAAATGCTTCTTTAACTTACCACATGTAGAAACTGGACAGCACTTTCCATCTGGGGTTTTTGTTACAATGTTAAATCCAAGATCACATTTAATTTCCGTTGAATTGCAAAGGCTGATGATGCACTCTAGGTAAACCACAGTATATATGTCAGGCAAATGAAACTACTGCAAATCACACCCAAATTAATTTTGATTTTACCCCATGAATTTAAATGAGATAAATTGATCACAATATATGACTAATTCCTGTATCTAAGACTTCCAATTTTGGAAACCAATAGCTTATCTAACACTTAGGTCAGTATAGTATGAATTAGTTGCAGAGTGAAACTTCCTATAAATTCTCATCATCAAATACAGTAAAGTCCTGATAGCTCGACCCTGGTTTAACTCGTCACTACCATTCGAGTCATCATGCTGTCAGTATTCTGGCCACATTTGTTTATTTATTTATACATATGACTAACTCGCAACTCCAGAGCCCTTTTTCCTTGGAGCAATAGTTATCAAGAGTTTAAAGTACTTGCAAATCGTGGAAAGCATGACATTTTATTTTCACCACAGACACTGATATATTCTCTCTCAGAGAGACTTCAGATACTGTGTGCTGAATTACAGACAGTATTATGCCCTGAACTTTTGTAAGACAGGATGGAATGCTAAGATCATGGTGGAGGTGGGATTGTCATTTTTGAGTTCTCGCACAAATTGTTTCTTCGTAGATATATTGTAGAAATGGCAGATCTTCAATAAATCATAGTCCAAATGTCTTATAATAGTAATGTTCCTGTGTAACATTTCAATAATCAACTTACTGCACTCTGTTTCCATGCAACAATGGTCCTTTGGGTTTGGCACTTTAGCAACAATAAATCCATCTCCATCACACGTCACTGACGGGGAAGAATCACATTTGTGTGGCTGACAGATAACTTGTTGTGTAATGTTATCACAGATGCAGTCTTGACATTTGAATTCAAAACTTTCTCCAAACTGTTGAAACAAAATACTAAGAGTGAAACAGTGAATTCTCATAGCACTTTATAAATTTGCAGAAAATTACAAGCAGTTTTGTGTTGTTGACATATCATCAGAAATAGGATACTTCAGATAACCTTTACAAAATGGGAGAGGGATAGGGCTTTCATCCCATCAGTTTGAGCTGGATTTAATTCCAGGTCCACAGACTCAATAAACATAATAATTTGTTAGCCCTTAAAAGCCCAACATGCCCCAGTTCTGACGAAGGGTCGTGGACCTGCAACGTTGACTCACTTTCCTTTCTCCATAGATGCTGCCTGACCTGCTGAGTGTTCCCAGCGACTTCTGTTTAGGTTTTCATAATAACTTGTTTGATATAATGTCTTATCACATCTCAAATGCTTTACACAAGAAGTTACTTTGAAGTGAGTTCTGATGAAAGGTCATCGACAAATGTTAACTCACTTTCCTCTCTCCATAGATGCTGCCTGACCTCCTGAGTGTTCCCAGTGATCCATTTTTACTTTGAAGTGAGTAGCTGTTATGCAATTGAAAGTGCAACCTAATTTGCGCAATTAATGTTCTAGAAACAGCAATGAGATAAATGAATATGTTTTCCCATCACTTTGGATGAGGAAGTAAATTGACCAGGATACTGGAGAATTACATGCTCTTCAAATAGTACGTCATTGGCAACCATCTGAACTTTTAAACTTGGATTAATATTTTATTTGAAAGATAGCACTTCTGCCAGTGTGGCTCTTCATCAATCTAATATGAAGGGTCTATCTTGATAATGAAATTATGTCAAGATGAAGTTTCAAAGTGCTCACAGAATTTTACTGTGAAGTGTAATGACCGTGTATTTGTAGGCGAATGGGGTAGGCAATTTGTGCACAGCAATGCTCCACAAGCAGCCATGAAATGAATGACGAATTTTATTTGGGGTACACCTGGAGAAACTCCCTTCTCTTTTTCACATGGTGCCTTACTGCTTTACAATGGTAGTTAGCACTGAACAGCGGGAAGGGAGCTAGGGAGGGGAGCTAGGGAGACTAACATTCTCCTTTTGGAGTGGAAAAATCCAACAAGGAGTGGGTGAAGACATGTCTAACAGTTTTGGTGCATTTGGAGTGAGGTAGGAAAGGAGGCAGTGGATGTAGTGGAGGAGAAGAAAAGTAATTTGGTTAGAGAATGGGTGTGAGGCAGAAAGGAAAGCTGAGGTTTGAACTAAATTGCAAGGTTGCACATTTGAGAGTTTAGTTAATTTGAGAGGCCAAGGAGGTTGAGGAGGTTGGAGCCAGAAGTGAGGAGACATTGGTGGGAGCAAGGAGGAAAACAACAACAACACAATAACTTGTACTTATATAGTGCCTTCCACGCAGGGTAGCATCTCAGAGTGCTTAAAGGCTCAGAGGACACTTTCTTTCTTGACCATAATTTAGTTGCAGGAAACCTTGGCTCATTCACACCTTGATGTATGCCAGGCAAGTGGACAAAATACAGTGGGAACACTGTCAGCGGATGATATCGCCAAGAGGGAGCATGTAGATGAGGGAGAGAAGGAGGCCGAGGATAGAGCCATGAGGTGCTCCATTAGTGCGAGAATGAGATGAGAAACATTGGAGGAGATGAAGTGAAGGTAGTGGACTAAATGGGATAATAATAATAATAATAATAATAATAATAATAATAATCCTTGCATTTGATATAGCGCTTTTCACGTCGGGAGGACGTCCCAAAGCACTTCACAGAACACACTGTAAAGTGAATTGACTGTATATTTGTGGGCGAACGCGGCAGCCAATTGCGCACAGCAATGTCCCACAAACAGTCGTAGATTGAAAATGAACAGTTTTATTATTGTTTTTGGTTTTGGAGGGATTAGAACCAGGAGAGCGCCATCCCACGGAGGTGGATGAAGGGAGGTGCTTGAAGTGACTGAGTGATCAACAGTAAAATGACAGAAAGGTTAAGGAGGATACAGAGGCAGAGGAAGCCCTAGTCAGAGGAAGAGAGATTGAGGACCTTGATGAAGGCTGTTTCAGTGCTGTGGGCATGGTGGAAGCTGGACTAGAATTTCTGAATCAGGGAGTGGAGAGAAAGATGGGAGTGGAATTCAGTGGCGACAACACAATCCAGGACTTTGAAATAGGAAGGGTAGGTTGGTTATGGGCTGGTAGTTGGAGAATTTGGAGAGATCAAGGGTAGTTTTTTTGAGGAAGGGGTGACTACTTCATGTAAGTATATCTTCATCATATTAATTGTATGGCATATTTCTGGATCTGGATGTAGAATAAATGGATATAAAAATTGTTAAGCATTCTAATAGACAAAGGATGTTTATTAGAAAAGTTCTGTATTTTTATTTAACACATACCTTTCTGTGTACTCCATCAGGTCCCATGCATCCTTCTGCAGACAGAAACAAACATACATCCACTTAGACTAAAACATTTCTGACTGTACACAAGTAACATTCAAAATTAGAACTAAAAATATAGAAAAAAATGAGAATTATTCAGAATATTTACCCCATTTGTCTACACATATATCACTCCCAGGGCTGAAATTGATGGTATTGCCTGGACAGAAACATCCTTCTGGTTGTAGAACATTTTCATTGCTTTAAAAAAAATGTTGATAATAATTGGTTTAAACAAATCATTCTACAATTTTTATTATCAATGCATTAGTTTTTGGCAGTGTTACACTTGCATTGCTTATTGTAACTAACCTTGGAGTGCAAGTTTGTTCCTTAGAACTCTCACACGTTTTGTAAATCTTGTTTGAAGGACATTTCAAGGCTGTATTGAAGAATAAGAAAGAAAAGTTTAATTAAACTCGGGGTAATCAAAGTGTGTTACAAAACTGCAATTTTGTATCAAAAATGGACTTGCTAATTGCGACAGTATTTTAAAATACGAAAAATCTGACAGAGCCACTGGCCAAAAATGGTAAGGAAGGGTCTATCCAGCATCAATACTGATAGTCGCATTATGACTTGGTGAAGTTTGGAGGGCACTATCTGACAGCTGCGAGAGCCGACGATTGGACGATGCAGTTGATAAGGAGACTTGCTTGCTTTCCCCTTAGCTCTCAAGGGATACCCTGACACACTGCATCAACAGCTGGATTTATTTCCATTCTCTGCGCTGAGTCCTCCCAACCACTGGCTCCTGCCGTGAGAGGACAGTTTGTCGAGGAGGCAGGCAGCGGGTGACCCGAAGTTGGAAATGCTTCTTAGACCGGATTAAATCATCCCCTGGCCCAAGGGTGGCCAGTTTGACCACCCTGATGTACATAATTATGCATGGTATCTAAGTTTACAAGATTCAGATAGCATTTGGAATTGAAAGCTTATTTGTAAATTGGAAATGGATTCAGTGTGATTGCTGACATATTTCCGTCCTTATTTTGTGGAGATGGAAGAGTGATTTCTCGTGGTTTTATTGTCGGCCTGAGTTAGTCTGAGTGAGCTGGATCTTTTGTGCCAGTGCCTTTCCCCTCATGCCGCTGAGACTCTCATTCATGCAGTCATCATGTCCAGGCTTGACTATGCTAACTCCCTGCTTGCCGGACTTCCCTCCTCCCTCCACAAGTTGCAGATAATTCAGAACTCTGCAGTTCGTGTCCTCTCCCATACCAAGCTCCGTGAACTGATCATTCCCATCCTCACCCGGCTCCACTCCTATCCCTCATAGGATTGAATTTGAAATCCTCCTCCTCACTTTTAAAGTCCCCCATGGTCTTACACCTCCCTACCTCTGCAACCTATTAACACCATACCAACCTGTCCACTTCCTCTGCTTGGCAGCCACGGGCCTGTTAATAATAATAATAATCCTTGCATTTGATATAGCGCTTTTCACGTCGGGAGGACGTCCCAAAGCGCTTCACAGAACACACTGTAGAGTGAATTGACTGTATATTTGTGGGCGAACGCGGCAGCCAATTGCGCACAGCAATGTCCCACAAACAGTCGTAGATTGAAAATGACCAATTTATTATTGTTTTGTTTTGGAGGGATTATTGTTAGGCTCTGTGTGGAGTAAGGAAACTTGCCCAAGGTTTCGCCCTCTGCCTGGAATTGAACTCAGGTCTCTCACTTGCAAAGCGAGTGCTGTAACCACTGAGTTCCATGTCCCCCGTGCTGCCTGCCCACCATTGGTGGTGAGACTTTCAGCTTTTCTACCCTCACCCTCTGGAACTCCATCTTGAATCCCTCTGGCTCATCCTCTCACTTGCTTCCTTCAAGGCCCGTCTCAACAACCTCCTCTTTGACCGTGTCTTCGGCCACCTCCCCAAACCCCCTACCCTACACCCATCTTGATTTCATCTCCCAGCTCAGGTGCAAACCCTTAACTGTCCAGCACCTTAGGACATCTTTCCATCTTGTAAGGCGCTTTGTAAAGTTGTTGTTGTTAAAGTACAGAATAATTAAATAAGTAATGTATTTAGTTTTACTTACAGCATTGTCCTCCAGTGTAATTTCTCCAGTCAATGCAGAGTTGTTTGCGTGACATGCACTCAGCTGCATACATTTGCAAACTGGTGCATGCCTTTTTGATGTCTTGGTTTACACATCCATCAATGATGCAAGCATCGTAGTAGAAGTTTGATGAAAATCCCTGATCGCACAGTTCAAACAATCTGAAAACATCACAGTTCATTAGGCTTCCAGATTAATTATTGTTAAACACATTATTAATAAAAACTAAAATTTTGCTTCCTTCTCCAAGTGTTTGTTCATTCATTAAATTATTGAATTCATTAATTAAAGCGGAGCTTTATTAATGTAAACAATTTTCTAAAATAAAACTGTTTACCAGACCCAGTGGAAATTTGTAACTTTTCCATTTGACTTTTGGCACTTTTTATCAAGCATGTCTAGTGAAAAGTACATTGCCCTCTGCCCCATTAAACACTTCACGTCATGTATTGTACATGTTAGATGCAATAATATTAATAATAATCCTTGCATTTGATATAGCGCATTTCACGTCTTTTTGACATCTCAGCGCTTCACAGAATATACTGCAAAGTGAATTGACTGTATATTTATGGGCGAAACGAGATGCAGAGTAGCATCCTCAACTCTGTCCCAGGCTACTCACAGAAAAGAATCAATTATAGTACTTGCTATTCCAATGTGTTTTTCCTGTGTTGGAATTCAACCTCTGTGGCAGGGGTAAAAGATTTTTAATGCCCAAAATTTTAAATATTAGACAATCGTGGGAAAATCTATTTCAATTTGGAAACCAGTCCTTTTTAAGCACTGTGGAAAATGGCTTTTGAAATCAGATTTTAATTGAAGAATTTTCCATGGTATCTTAAGGTGTCAGTCTTTCTGAATTGAAATCACTAATTTCTGAGTCAGAAAACTATAGGCTCAAACTCTATGTCAGGACTTTAAAATCACATATTCTAGGCTGACACTCCAATGCAATTCTGGAGGTGGGGATGCATTGTTGGAGCTGTTGTCCTTCAGATGAGATGTTAAAACCAATCTCTGTACAGATGGATGTTAAAGATCCCATAGCACTATTGAAAGAGAGAATGGAGTTTCTTCTGGTTTCCTGGCCAACGATACCCCAGGAAACAGTCGTCATTCACTCTATGGCTGTTTATAGAACACTTCTATGTGCAAACTGGCTGCTGCATTCACTTCCAAATGAAAGTCTCTATTCTTTACATTTACAGTAAATGTAGTGAAGTGCATTGAGATATCCTTCTGAGATGAGAGGCGCTATATCAATTGTAAGGAATATGCCTTAAATTTTACCCTAACCTAATCCTAAAGACTAAGTGACATTTCAGAACTGACAATGTCCTAATTGAATTATGCTACTAGTTCCTGAGATGCTCTGATTTTGGCACATTTCATGAGAGTCAAACATTGTCATCACATTTTACAAATGTTTGTGAAAACTTTGGGCCTGGTTAACACTTAAAATAGATTGTTTTTTGCTTTATAGTTATGAAGAGCTCTTAAATGCTTAGAATTTAATATTAATAGTGTTAATATTCAAAATCAGTTTGTACCAATTGGCATTTACTTTGCTGAATGATCAAAAAAGACTTGAAAGAAATCTCGGGTAAATTGACCTTGAATTTTTAGAAAAGTTCAAATATTTGGCACAGTCCAATTCCTTACTTGGTTTTAAACAGGTTGCAGACAGAATTTGAGTCGCAAGGATGTTGTGTTATCTGGTCACTAGGTGTCACATGAGGTCGTGGAGTTGCAGATGATGAGGGTGGAGCATTACAGTTTGGTTTGTTGGCATCTTTGACTTGCCAGTGAGCAGCCATTTCAGAGCAGGAGGATGCCTGTTTTCCATTTGGTAGCATACAGTCATCACTCTGGTCATTAGTGCATGTTCCTGTGAAGACACAACATGAAAGCATGTCAATTATATTTATATAGACATATTCACGATATTCTTTGATGGATATTGAACCTAAAGGGCATCATTTGTGTATTGGAAATATCATACTTGTATTTCGCCCACACAATACACACTGTCACACCATATTCTGTGAAGTGTGTTGACTCTTCAATGATGTAAAAACATCAAGTGCAAGGATTATTATGTTCCGAATGAAGGTTGAATGAAGAAACCCATAAGTGGTCTTGACTTGATCGTGGCTTTGCTATACATACATTACCAACAGTTTTCTTTTACAAATCAAAACTTTTAAATGTCCTATTTAATGAATAAGAAAACAAAGCATTCTTACCGCACTGTCCCTGTGTATTGTTTCCAAAAAATTTGTATGGGAGTTTGACTGAGAAACCCATGCCATAGAAGATAATCTGTGCCTCTATTTTAGGAATTTCTACTGTTACATGAGTGGTTAGGCTGAAGATGCTCACTCCGTAATTTGAGTATGGCAGTGAAACATTAGTACCTTTTACAGTCACCTGGTGATAGAATAAAGAAGCATAAATATTGTGTTAAATTAGCAACATGACTGTAGTCTGGTAACATGTACGGTAAAATATTCTTATGGAAGTACAGACGTAAAAATGATAGTTACCAGAAATTGACCTCCATTAGTACCATTATTTTTTATTTGTATTTCTACTTTGTCAAACTTCACTATCATGGCACGTAGACAGGATGATCCATCCTGTGAATTGCATTCATAGTTGTCGATGTAAACTCCAAAGTTATGTGTCGTGTTGATTTCCTCCACGAGAACGTAAGTACAGTTTCCTTCATAATTGTACTGTTGCCCATCAAATGTAACGTAATGTGAGCCTCCCCATCCGCTGCACTGGCCTGTGTGAACATCATGTTTGGTTAATATTAACTTAATCTCAATAATAAAGTATATAGTACATTGCCTCATGGAAAAAAAAAACGCATAAAAGTTTATTTTCTATTTGTTGGAATTTTTCTGTTAATGTAGCAGTAAGTCTTTATAATTGGGGTTTTCATTCAAATCATATCTTCCCAAAATAATTACATTTCCTGAGAAGTGGAAAATAACTCCCATTTTAGAATTCACTCAGTTTTTAGATAATAATTTTCCTCAATTGCTACCCTATGGTGTTGACTCTTGTTGTTGTTTGGTTTATATGGATGCAGATGCTTTCAAGTATTTGCTGAAATACCCTTTCTTAAGTGTAATCTTAGATAGAGACTTTTTTTATTGGTCAGCTGGGTGCTTAATGCATGTGGAAACCCATCACCATTCTTAACAATATCCAAACCAGACTGAGAGTTCTATGCATGTCACCTACACATGGAAATTACCATGTCTAGAAATGGAATGTGCATTCTCCCTGAAGAAATACACCTTGCTTACCTAATTCTGGACAGCATTAGTTAGCAAAAGCCAAACGAGACGTGGCATCGCAGGATTGCATTGGGGGTACTTCTGGAGTTTAACTCATAAAAAATGCATTGATTGCCATCAAAAGCATCATTTAGCAACGTACGTGCTGTTAGTCCAGTTAGGATCACTCTGCCCATTATACCTTGGCTTACAGGGTTCACAGGAGCTGAATGGGAAGAATTCCTGCCCTCCGAGGTCTGCCGATGAGCTTGGCTCACTTGTTTATCATCAGCAGTGCCGTGGAATTGGGAACCAGATTATTGAGACTGCCACAGAAATTAACTTGATTCTAAAATTCTGTGAACATTATCTTAAGGTCAGTTCAGCTCTAAGGAGATCCCACCAGGATGTGTGTGCAAGCTGTAGGCATAAGGATGGTGACAATGTTTTCCTACGTTTGATGCTGATCTTGCTATTCTCCACAAAGCTTGCGGGAGTTTCCTGGTGCCTGCTTTCCTAGAGAGGGCTCAAATCTGTACTTGTTGGATGCCAAATCACCAACTAGTGACTATGCATCTCGGGGGAAGTCAGCAGTCCTCCTTGGAGCTTAGCTCGCTCCGTGGTGAAGTGCTTGGCAATAGAATGTTGGAATAAAGTCTGTGCTTTGAAAAGTATTCATTTTTTTAATGAAAATAATATTGATATTCAATTAAATGTAATATTACAATGCTTTTATGCATAGTTCACCCTCTTAAATCTTAAGCTTTTATAAGTATGTGTATAAGGCAAAACCCAGAATATGCCTGGCAGTAAATTTTTGGCACCCAAAGTAATCATGGGGGAATTAAGTGAAATATTGATGTAAAGCATTCTAACATGATAACATTCAAATAAAATAAAACATTCAATAAACAAATACATCTATCATATACCATTATTATAATGTTCATACAAAGCAAATGATTAAATTAAATGTTTTGAATGTGAAAATATTTGGAAAAATGTGCTTTAAGAAAGGGCTTCAAGTGACTTGAAAATACTTACAGCCACATTCAGAATGGAGACAGCAGTGGTAGTCGTCATAAACTTGGGCAGGTGAATAGCCATTGGCGCAGATGATATTTTCAACAGGAGGACACACAATAGGTGTTATGGCTACAACATTGTTTACGATACATGTTGCCATGAGACAGTCACAAATATGCCAGGTCTCATTATGCTAAATTAAATTAAAAAAGTACAGAAGTTAAAAGAATATTGATGAATTCACTTACAAAATATCAAAAAAATTGTTATCAGTTAGTATGTCTTGACAACCATAAATACATTGTTTAATCAGCTATCTAACTCTCCAGTAATTCATTGGAATAGTAGGATATGTGCAATAATAAAAATGTAAGTTGTATTTATATTTTACAGCTGTTTTATTAGGCAGTATGATGGTTATTGCTCATTCACATTTTTCTCTCTTGAAGCGCTCTGAGACACTGTCCGGCGTGGAGGGTGTTATATAAATCCAAGTTGTTCTTGTTGTTTCCAAAAACACCATCCTAAACATTGTTTTTGCATTTCGCATTGTGTTAAAATCAAAACTCATTTCTGGTTATTGAACAATACCCTGCAATACCCTGGCATACTCTGGCAACCCAAACTTTGGCTATTGTCAAAGTGCGCCTAATATTCTCTGGAAACAGAATACGTTCTTCCAGGGAAAGAGGGCATATTCCATTCCAGACACGGGAACGTCAGTGGTGTAAATTAGCACACATGGAACTCTGTCCGGTTTGGATGTTCTTAAGCATGGTGATGGGATTCTGTATTTGTCAGACACTCGGTTGACCAAAGCAGGTTATTAGGAGCCAAAGCTTGAGGATCCCTGAGCATGGATTGAGGTATAACTGGAACTTAATCAGCTAAGACAGCATAGTTTGTCATAGTGAGCATTGGCAAGCTTATGTCCCTCAGTTTTGTAAAGCGCTTTGAGATGTTCTCCTAAAGCGAAAGGCATTGTGTTAGTGTAGATTGTTTTTTGCCATGTATTGAGTTTGAGCATGAAAGCATTACAATTCCTCAAAAACATTAGACGGAAAGTCCATTTTATCTTAAAAATTAAGAATAGTGCGGAATTAGGCAAAAATAATAAATTCAGCCTTAATGTGAAAGTCAGTTCTTTTTAAGAATTGTTGAAAACTGGCTTACAAATTAAGATCAAAACTAAGAATTTTCCACAATTTTGTGCAATTGTATAGTTTAAGACCGATGCAATCTTAAAGTTTAAAGTTTATGGAGGCAGTGAGCGAGGCCTTGTTAACCCATAAGCCCATTCAGTCCGAGTGCAGGGAGGTCCTCAGTCAGGATACCTAATGTCCTGGGAAGCCTTGAGCCCAGAAAATTTTGGAACCACTGTTTTGAAGAGCTGAGTGATATATCTGATTCACAAAATGATGTAATTTCATATTTTTTCAATTATCAAATAATTCAAGCATGTAGAGCTTGAACTATACACTGCAAAATCAAACCAGCATTCACTTATTGCCTAAAATACCACTCCAAAGATACTTACTAGTCTTGGCGGATCAAAATCAGGACAATCTTGTGTTGTGCTTGTTGTGGATTCAACTGTTGTTTGTTTAGCAGTAGTCATAGGTTCAGTTGATTCTTCAGTCTTGGAGCTTGTGGTTGGTTGAGTTGTTATGCTGATACAAGGTTCAATATGTTTTTCGACAATGCATGTTTCATTACAGAATGCCCAAATGCAGTATCCTGTTTCATCAGTGTAGTTGTATAAAATTGCACCTAAAATGTACACAAAAGATGATATATTTCAGAGTAGAAATAGTTAAGACTTATTTAGTTATTACCGCAGAAAACATTAAGCTAAACAATTGAAAACACATTGTTGAATTCAATAAAATGAATATTTTAGTCCTAATGAATGTTTTGAAGTATAATTTTAATGTAGGATGTTCAAAAAGGAAGTCAAATTCTTCAGAAAAAACAGCTTACAACAGGCAAAATCTATTTCCAGGATATGACAACTAAAGTCTACGGAAGATTAGATTTCATCAGACAGGATCGTTCACAAATGAGTGCAGCAAAAGCTCAGTTGTACCAGCTTTAGTATCTCAAAATTAGGATTTTTGTACCAGATCAGACGACCACAAGATCACAAGATTGGTTTGGATAAAGAAGGTGTTTTGGCCATTTAATCTCATCCTTTCAACATACTTCTCATCAAACTGGAGAACTGGGATTTTTTCCGTTGGAACAAAGACAATTGAGGGTGTGGGTTGATTCAAGTTTTGGAGTTTATTGAGGATTTTAAAATTATGAAATGTTTTCATAGTCAACAGAGGGTTTTGGGTTGTTTGAGGTTTTTAAAATCAGTAGGTAGAAATGATTTCCATTGTTAGGTAAGTCAGTGCTTTGAACTCATCAATTGAGCAAATTCGGAGGTTAAATGCTGTGAGTAGTGGTTGAGGCAGAGTCCATATTAGCTTTCAAAAGGGAACTAGATAAATATTCATGGGCACTGCAGATATTCCCCTGAGAGTACGGCATTCACAAACCGGATCTCTGTACTGAATACCAGTGACGGTGATAACACCTCTGGGGAGAGGAGTCAAAAACAAATGGATGGACACGTGGATACAGAGAAGAATATCATTGGGAACATGACTGTGAAAGGAATAGACAGACGTTTCTGCATGATTCTCGCTTGGTATGTTGCCTCCCTGGTGCCAGGATTGAACAATTCACGGAACGAGTGCAAAACATTCTACAGGGGGAAGGGGAACATCCAGAAGTCATAATCCGTGTTGGGATCCATGAGGTAGGGACAAAAAGGGCTGAAATCCTACAGGGTAAGTATCCAAAGCTAAGGAAAAAGCTAAAGAGTAGGACCTCAGAGGTGGTGATCTCTGGATTATTCCCAGTGCCTCGTACAAGTGAGTATCAAAACAACAGGATCAAACACATGAATGCATGGTTGGAGAAATGGTGCACAAAGGTGGGCTTCAGGTTCCTGGAACACTGGGACCAGCTCTGGAGCAGGTTGGAAATGTACAAAGTAGATAGGTTACACCTACAGGGCTGGGACCAATGTCGTTGCAGTAGGTTAATTAGTGCTGTGGGCGAAGGGTTTAAACTAGGGGGGAAGGGAATCAGGATGTAACATCAGAAAAAGTTACATTGAGGGCTGATAGAGATGAATAACAATGCAATAAGGAGTAGTCCAGCAAAAAGGAGGGATTAGACAATGGAGAAATGCAAAGCAGACTCCGTTGTTCTTGGAGTGCATGTGCATAAATGCACCGGGTGTGACAAATAAAACTGGTGATCTGCAGACTCAAGTTGCCACATGGGATTATGATGTATTGGGAGTAATGGAGACCTGGCTCAAACAAGGTAGTAGAAGATTTTAAATCAAAAAATTCAAACATGAATAAAAAAATAAATTACCTTGTGGATAGACTGTGCCATTCAAGATGCAGAAGCATTCCGTAGTAGAAGGCAAATATGTTGTGCTGGGTGAAGTGGAGGTAGAAAATAACACAGAACTAGAGGTCAATGCAGAACTACTTGAAGGAAACATGATAGTAGTTCCAGTTATGGAAGTTGTTGGTGTGAGTGTGGATGGGGATACAGCAACAGTAACAGTGGCAATTGTCGTCCATTCAGCGGAGGTGCTAGAGGATACATTTCCTGTGGTCACACTGCCAGGTGTAACTGAAATAGAAGGTGATGGAGTCGTCGAGAAAATCGGTAATTCTGGAGGCAGGGTTGTATGAAGCGATTCGATGGGCGTACTGCTTGTCAATTCTGTGGTTTCTGTGATTTCAGTTGTTTCTGACATTTCTGTTGTACAAATTGTAGTTACCTCTGTGTAAATAGGTGGTGATGATGTTGCAGGAGTTGGTATTGAGCCAGAAGTGCTGGTTGTTGTAGAAGGTATAGGTGGAGTAACAGAGGTTATAGGTTGAGAAGGAATTGAAGTTATTTCTGTGGATGATTCCATCGTGAACATAGATGACTGAGAAGCCGTTGTGTACGTTGCTTCTGTTTTGACTGGATGAAATGTTTTGGAAACCATGGAGGTGCTTGTTGTTGTTGGAGAAGCTGTTGGAACAGACGTTGCACTTGCACTTGGAGTGGTTGGTGGTGTCACAGTAGTTGTTGTGCTGGTTGTCGTGGGTGTTTTTGAAGAAGTAACAGTGCTTGTAACATTTGATCCCGATGAGGTTGATGATGGAATTGGTGTCTCTGTGATTACAGATGTCATGCCAGAAGAAGTTGTTTCACCAACTTCAGTTGTGGTTAGTGTAGATGGAGAAAAGGAGCTCTTACTGCTTGTTTCTTCAGGAGGGCTAGGAGGAGTTGGTGAAGTTCCAGTTGTGGGCGTTGTAGTAGAAGGAATACCAATGGACCCAGTTGGAGTTGTTGGTTTAGATACTACAGTGATGAATGATGTATGTGGAGGAAAACTGGTCTTGGTTTTTGTTTCTGCAGTGGTGGTTGGAGTAGATGGCGGACTTCCAGTTGTGATCCTGGTCGTTGGAGAGGACGAAGTAACTGTGGATATAGTAGGAGTTGTTGTTTTAGTAATTTCAGTGGTGAATGGTGTTGATGTAGAAAAGGTGCCCTTGCTGCTTGTTCCTCCAGTTGTGCTTGGTGGAATGAATGGATTTCCAGTTGTGGTGGGTGTTGGAGCAGATGGAGAAACTGTTGTACTAGTTGTCACTTCTTTTGTGGTTGATGTCGAGGCAGGAGTTTGAATGATTTCTGTGGATGTTTTTTCTGTAGTTGGTGTCATTTCTGTAGTTTCAGTAATTTCAGTTGTACAAATTGTGCTTGTTTCCTCTGTGCTCCCTGATGTTGGTGGTGTCACAGTAGTTGTTGTGCTGGTTGTTGTGGGTGTTTTTGAAGAAGTAACAGTGCTTGTAATACTCGATCGTGGTGTGGATGTGGGCAATGTAGTAGAACGAGAACCAGTGGATCCAGTTGGAAATGTGTGAGATATTACAGTGGTGAATGGTGTTGATGCAACAAACGTTGTTTCCTCTGGGCTCGTTGGTATAGGGAATGTCACAGTAGTGCTGACAGTTATTATGGGCGCAAAAGGTGGTGTTGTTATGGAACCAGTAGTACTGATTGTTGGGAGTGATTTCGATGGAGTAACAGTACTTGTTTCACTCGATTCGGGAGAGGTTGATGATGGAATTGGTATCTCTGTGATAGATGTTGTGCCTGTAGATGTTGTTGTTTCTATTACTTCAGTTGTCGTAATAGATACTTCAGTGGTGAACGGTGAGCTAGTTGATGTTGTCGTGGTGGATGTTTCAGTCGAGAATGGTGTAGACGTCGAAAAGGTGCTCTTGCTACTTGTTTCTCCTGTCGTGCTTGGAGGTGTGTGTTTTGGAGTAGTTGGGATGGTGGGAGTTGGAGAGGAAGGAGTAACTGTGGACCCGGTAGGAGTTGTCGTTTTGGATACTGGAGTGGTGAATGGTGTAGATGGAGAAAAAGTGCTCTTGCTACTTGTTCCTTCTGTTGGTGTATGGGATGGAGTTCCGGTTGTTGTGGTGGGTGACGGAGTAGAAGGAATGGTCGTTGTGCTTATTGTTCCTTCTGTTGCAGTTGTTGGAACGCTTGTGGATGTTGATGGCGAAAAGGTGCTCTTGCTACTTGTTTCTCCTGCCGTGCTTGGAGTACTGTGTGTTGGTGGAGTTGGGATGGTGGTTGTTGGAGTGGAAGTAGGACCTTCTGTTGTTTCTGTGGGTTCAGATGTACAGATTGTGGTTGTTTCCTCTGTGCTACCTGATGTTGAAGTGCTGGGAGTTGGTGGTGGGCCAGTGGTGCTGGTTGTTGTGGGTGTTTTGGATGGTGTGACTGTGGGTGTTTTGGATGGTGTAACTGTGGGTGTCTCAGGTGTTCCGGGTGAGGTTGATGACGGAAACAATGTCCCTGTTGTCACAGATGGGGATCCAGTTGATGTTGTCGTGGTGGATGTTTCAGTCGAGAATGGTGTAGATGTTGAAAAGGTGCTCTTGCTACTTGTTTCTCCTGTCGTGCTTGGAGGTGTGTGTTTTGGAGTAGTTGGGATGGTGGGAGTTGGAGTGGATCCTGTAGGAGTTGTTGTTTTTGATATTTCACTGGTGAATGGTGTAGATGGAGAAACAGTGCTCTTGCTACTTGTTCCTTCTGTTGGTGGAGTGGATGGAGTTCCAGTTGTTGTGGTGGGTGATGAAGTGGAAGGAATGGTTGTTGTACTAATTGTTCCTTCTGTTGCAGTTGTTGGAACGCTTGTGGATGTTGATGGCGAAAAGGTGCTCTTGCTACTTGTTTCTCCTGCCGTGCTTGGAGTACTGTGTGTTGGTGGAGTTGGGATGGTGGTTGTTGGAGTGGGAGTAGGACCTTCTGTTGTTTCTGTGGGTTCAGATGTACAGATTGTGGTTGTTTCCTCTGTGCTACCTGATGTTGAAGTGCTGGGAGTTGGTGGTGGGCCAATGGTGCTGGTTGTTGTGGGTGTTTTGGATGGTGTGACTGTGGGTGTTTTGGATGGTGTAACTGTGGGTGTCTCAGGTGTTCCGGGTGAGGTTGATGATGGAAACAATGTCCCTGTTGTCACAGATGGGGATCCAGTTGATGTTGTCGTGGTGGATGTTTCAGTCGAGAATGGTGTAGATGTTGAAAAGGTGCTCTTGCTACTTGTTTCTCCTGTCGTGCTTGGAGGTGTGTGTTTTGGAGTAGTTGGGATGGTGGGAGTTGGAGTGGATCCTGTAGGAGTTGTTGTTTTTGATATTTCACTGGTGAATGGTGTAGATGGAGAAAAAGTGCTCTTGCTACTTGTTCCTTCTGTTGGTGTATGGGATGGAGTTCCAGTTGTTGTGGTGGGTGACGGAGTGGAAGGAATGGTTGTTGTGCTAATTGTTCCTTCTGTTGCAGTTGTTGGAACGCTTGTGGATGTTGATGTCGAAAAGGTGCTCTTGCTACTTGTTTCTCCTGCCGTGCTTGGAGTACTGTGTGTTGGTGGAGTTGGGATGGTGGTTGTTGGAGAGGGAGTAGGACCTTCTGTTGTTTCTGTGGGTTCAGATGTACAGATTGTGGTTGTTTCCTCTGTGCTACCTGATGTTGAAGTGCTGGGAGTTGGTGGTGGGCCAATGGTGCTGGTTGTTGTGGGTGTTTTGGATGGTGTGACTGTGGGTGTTTTGGATGGTGTAACTGTGGGTGTCTCAGGTGTTCCGGGTGAGGTTGATGATGGAAACGATGTCCCTGTTGTTACAGATGGGGATCCAGTTGATGTTGTTGTGGTGGATGTTTCAGTCGAGAATGGTGTAGACGTCGAAAAGGTGCTCTTGCTACTTGTTTCTCCTGTCGTGCTTGGAGGTGTGTGTTTTGGAGTAGTTGGGATGGTGGGAGTTGGAGAGGAAGGAGTAACTGTGGACCCGGTAGGAGTTGTCGTTTTGGATACTGGAGTGGTGAATGGTGTAGATGGAGAAAAAGTGCTCTTGCTACTTGTTCCTTCTGTTGGTGTATGGGATGGAGTTCCGGTTGTTGTGGTGGGTGACGGAGTAGAAGGAATTGTCGTTGTGCTTATTGTTCCTTCTGTTGCAGTTGTTGGAACGCTTGTGGATGTTGATGGCGAAAAGGTGCTCTTGCTACTTGTTTCTCCTGCCGTGCTTGGAGTACTGTGTGTTGGTGGAGTTGGGATGGTGGTTGTTGGAGTGGAAGTAGGACCTTCTGTTGTTTCTGTGGGTTCAGATGTACAGATTGTGGTTGTTTCCTCTGTGCTACCTGATGTTGAAGTGCTGGGAGTTGGTGGTGGGCCAGTGGTGCTGGTTGTTGTGGGTGTTTTGGATGGTGTGACTGTGGGTGTTTTGGATGGTGTAACTGTGGGTGTCTCAGGTGTTCCGGGCGAGGTTGATGACGGAAACAATGTCCCTGTTGTCACAGATGGGGATCCAGTTGATGTTGTCGTGGTGGATGTTTCAGTCGAGAATGGTGTAGATGTTGAAAAGGTGCTCTTGCTAATTGTTTCTCCTGTCGTGCTTGGAGGTGTGTGTTTTGGAGTAGTTGGGATGGTGGGAGTTGGAGTGGATCCTGTAGGAGTTGTTGTTTTTGATATTTCACTGGTGAATGGTGTAGATGGAGAAAAAGTGCTCTTGCTACTTGTTCCTTCTGTTGGTGTATGGGATGGAGTTCCAGTTGTTGTGGTGGGTGACGGAGTGGAAGGAATGGTTGTTGTGCTAATTGTTCCTTCTGTTGCAGTTGTTGGAACGCTTGTGGATGTTGATGTCGAAAAGGTGCTCTTGCTACTTGTTTCTCCTGCCGTGCTTGGAGTACTGTGTGTTGGTGGAGTTGGGATGGTGGTTGTTGGAGTGGGAGTAGGACCTTCTGTTGTTTCTGTGGGTTCAGATGTACAGATTGTGGTTGTTTCCTCTGTGCTACCTGATGTTGAAGTGCTGGGAGTTGGTGGTGGGCCAGTGGTGCTGGTTGTTGTGGGTGTTTTGGATGGTGTGACTGTGGGTGTTTTGGATGGTGTAACTGTGGGTGTCTCAGGTGTTCCGGGTGAGGTTGATGATGGAAACGATGTCCCTGTTGTTACAGATGGGGATCCAGTTGATGTTGTTGTGGTGGATGTTTCAGTCGAGAATGGTGTAGACGTCGAAAAGGTGCTCTTGCTACTTGTTTCTCCTGTCGTGCTTGGAGGTGTGTGTTTTGGAGTAGTTGGGATGGTGGGAGTTGGAGAGGAAGGAGTAACTGTGGACCCGGTAGGAGTTGTCGTTTTGGATACTGGAGTGGTGAATGGTGTAGATGGAGAAAAAGTGCTCTTGCTACTTGTTCCTTCTGTTGGTGTATGGGATGGAGTTCCGGTTGTTGTGGTGGGTGACGGAGTAGAAGGAATGGTCGTTGTGCTTATTGTTCCTTCTGTTGCAGTTGTTGGAACGCTTGTGGATGTTGATGGCGAAAAGGTGCTCTTGCTACTTGTTTCTCCTGCCGTGCTTGGAGTACTGTGTGTTGGTGGAGTTGGGATGGTGGTTGTTGGAGTGGAAGTAGGACCTTCTGTTGTTTCTGTGGGTTCAGATGTACAGATTGTGGTTGTTTCCTCTGTGCTACCTGATGTTGAAGTGCTGGGAGTTGGTGGTGGGCCAGTGGTGCTGGTTGTTGTGGGTGTTTTGGATGGTGTGACTGTGGGTGTTTTGGATGGTGTAACTGTGGGTGTCTCAGGTGTTCCGGGCGAGGTTGATGACGGAAACAATGTCCCTGTTGTCACAGATGGGGATCCAGTTGATGTTGTCGTGGTGGATGTTTCAGTCGAGAATGGTGTAGATGTTGAAAAGGTGCTCTTGCTACTTGTTTCTCCTGTCGTGCTTGGAGGTGTGTGTTTTGGAGTAGTTGGGATGGTGGGAGTTGGAGTGGATCCTGTAGGAGTTGTTGTTTTTGATATTTCACTGGTGAATGGTGTAGATGGAGAAAAAGTGCTCTTGCTACTTGTTCCTTCTGTTGGTGTATGGGATGGAGTTCCAGTTGTTGTGGTGGGTGACGGAGTGGAAGGAATGGTTGTTGTGCTAATTGTTCCTTCTGTTGCAGTTGTTGGAACGCTTGTGGATGTTGATGTCGAAAAGGTGCTCTTGCTACTTGTTTCTCCTGCCGTGCTTGGAGTACTGTGTGTTGGTGGAGTTGGGATGGTGGTTGTTGGAGTGGGAGTAGGACCTTCTGTTGTTTCTGTGGGTTCAGATGTACAGATTGTGGTTGTTTCCTCTGTGCTACCTGATGTTGAAGTGCTGGGAGTTGGTGGTGGGCCAGTGGTGCTGGTTGTTGTGGGTGTTTTGGATGGTGTGACTGTGGGTGTTTTGGATGGTGTAACTGTGGGTGTCTCAGGTGTTCCGGGTGAGGTTGATGATGGAAACGATGTCCCTGTTGTTACAGATGGGGATCCAGTTGATGTTGTCGTGGTGGATGTTTCAGTCGAGAATGGTGTAGACGTCGAAAAGGTGCTCTTGCTACTTGTTTCTCCTGTCGTGCTTGGAGGTGTGTGTTTTGGAGTAGTTGGGATGGTGGGAGTTGGAGAGGAAGGAGTAACTGTGGACCCGGTAGGAGTTGTCGTTTTGGATACTGGAGTGGTGAATGGTGTAGATGGAGAAAAAGTGCTCTTGCTACTTGTTCCTTCTGTTGGTGTATGGGATGGAGTTCCGGTTGTTGTGGTGGGTGACGGAGTAGAAGGAATGGTCGTTGTGCTTATTGTTCCTTCTGTTGCAGTTGTTGGAACGCTTGTGGATGTTGATGGCGAAAAGGTGCTCTTGCTACTTGTTTCTCCTGCCGTGCTTGGAGTACTGTGTGTTGGTGGAGTTGGGATGGTGGTTGTTGGAGTGGAAGTAGGACCTTCTGTTGTTTCTGTGGGTTCAGATGTACAGATTGTGGTTGTTTCCTCTGTGCTACCTGATGTTGAAGTGCTGGGAGTTGGTGGTGGGCCAGTGGTGCTGGTTGTTGTGGGTGTTTTGGATGGTGTGACTGTGGGTGTTTTGGATGGTGTAACTGTGGGTGTCTCAGGTGTTCCGGGTGAGGTTGATGACGGAAACAATGTCCCTGTTGTCACAGATGGGGATCCAGTTGATGTTGTCGTGGTGGATGTTTCAGTCGAGAATGGTGTAGATGTTGAAAAGGTGCTCTTGCTACTTGTTTCTCCTGTCGTGCTTGGAGGTGTGTGTTTTGGAGTAGTTGGGATGGTGGGAGTTGGAGTGGATCCTGTAGGAGTTGTTGTTTTTGATATTTCACTGGTGAATGGTGTAGATGGAGAAAAAGTGCTCTTGCTACTTGTTCCTTCTGTTGGTGTATGGATGGAGTTCCAGTTGTTGTGGTGGGTGACGAGTGGAAGGAATGGTTGTTGTGCTAATTGTTCCTTCTGTTGCAGTTGTTGGAACGCTTGTGGATGTTGATGGCGAAAAGGTGCTCTTGCTACTTGTTTCTCCTGCCGTGCTTGGAGTACTGTGTGTTGGTGGAGTTGGGATGGTGGTTGTTGGAGTGGGAGTAGGACCTTCTGTTGTTTCTGTGGGTTCAGATGTACAGATTGTGGTTGTTTCCTCTGTGCTACCTGATGTTGAAGTGCTGGGAGTTGGTGGTGGGCCAATGGTGCTGGTTGTTGTGGGTGTTTTGGATGGTGTGACTGTGGGTGTTTTGGATGGTGTAACTGTGGGTGTCTCAGGTGTTCCGGGTGAGGTTGATGATGGAAACGATGTCCCTGTTGTTACAGATGGGGATCCAGTTGATGTTGTCGTGGTGGATGTTTCAGTCGAGAATGGTGTAGACGTCGAAAAGGTGCTCTTGCTACTTGTTTCTCCTGTCGTGCTTGGAGGTGTGTGTTTTGGAGTAGTTGGGATGGTGGGAGTTGGAGAGGAAGGAGTAACTGTGGACCCGGTAGGAGTTGTCGTTTTGGATACTGGAGTGGTGAATGGTGTAGATGGAGAAAAAGTGCTCTTGCTACTTGTTCCTTCTGTTGGTGTATGGGATGGAGTTCCGGTTGTTGTGGTGGGTGACGGAGTAGAAGGAATGGTCGTTGTGCTTATTGTTCCTTCTGTTGCAGTTGTTGGAACGCTTGTGGATGTTGATGGCGAAAAGGTGCTCTTGCTACTTGTTTCTCCTGCCGTGCTTGGAGTACTGTGTGTTGGTGGAGTTGGGATGGTGGTTGTTGGAGTGGAAGTAGGACCTTCTGTTGTTTCTGTGGGTTCAGATGTACAGATTGTGGTTGTTTCCTCTGTGCTACCTGATGTTGAAGTGCTGGGAGTTGGTGGTGGGCCAGTGGTGCTGGTTGTTGTGGGTGTTTTGGATGGTGTGACTGTGGGTGTTTTGGATGGTGTAACTGTGGGTGTCTCAGGTGTTCCGGGTGAGGTTGATGACGGAAACAATGTCCCTGTTGTCACAGATGGGGATCCAGTTGATGTTGTCGTGGTGGATGTTTCAGTCGAGAATGGTGTAGATGTTGAAAAGGTGCTCTTGCTACTTGTTTCTCCTGTCGTGCTTGGTGGTGTGTGTTTTGGAGTAGTTGGGATGGTGGGAGTTGGAGTGGATCCTGTAGGAGTTGTTGTTTTTGATATTTCACTGGTGAATGGTGTAGATGGAGAAAAAGTGCTCTTCTACTTGTTCCTTCTGTTGGTGGAGTGGATGGAGTTCCAGTTGTTGTGGTGGGTGATGAAGTGGAAGGAATGGTTGTTGTGCTAATTGTTCCTTCTGTTGCAGTTGTTGGAACGCTTGTGGATGTTGATGTCGAAAAGGTGCTCTTGCTACTTGTTTCTCCTGCCGTGCTTGGAGTACTGTGTGTTGGTAGGAGTTGGGATGGTGGTTGTTGGAGTGGGAGTAGGACCTTCTGTTGTTTCTGTGGGTTCAGATGTACAGATTGTGGTTGTTTCCTCTGTGCTACCTGATGTTGAAGTGCTGGGAGTTGGTGGTGGGCCAATGGTGCTGGTTGTTGTGGGTGTTTTGGATGGTGTGACTGTGGGTGTTTTGGATGGTGTAACTGTGGGTGTCTCAGGTGTTCCGGGTGAGGTTGATGATGGAAACGATGTCCCTGTTGTTACAGATGGGGATCCAGTTGATGTTGTCGTGGTGGATGTTTCAGTCGAGAATGGTGTAGACGTCGAAAAGGTGCTCTTGCTACTTGTTTCTCCTGTCGTGCTTGGAGGTGTGTGTTTTGGAGTAGTTGGGATGGTGGGAGTTGGAGAGGAAGGAGTAACTGTGGACCCGGTAGGAGTTGTCGTTTTGGATACTGGAGTGGTGAATGGTGTAGATGGAGAAAAAGTGCTCTTGCTACTTGTTCCTTCTGTTGGTGTATGGGATGGAGTTCCGGTTGTTGTGGTGGGTGACGGAGTAGAAGGAATGGTCGTTGTGCTTATTGTTCCTTCTGTTGCAGTTGTTGGAACGCTTGTGGATGTTGATGGCGAAAAGGTGCTCTTGCTACTTGTTTCTCCTGCCGTGCTTGGAGTACTGTGTGTTGGTGGAGTTGGGATGGTGGTTGTTGGAGTGGAAGTAGGACCTTCTGTTGTTTCTGTGGGTTCAGATGTACAGATTGTGGTTGTTTCCTCTGTGCTACCTGATGTTGAAGTGCTGGGAGTTGGTGGTGGGCCAGTGGTGCTGGTTGTTGTGGGTGTTTTGGATGGTGTGACTGTGGGTGTTTTGGATGGTGTAACTGTGGGTGTCTCAGGTGTTCCGGGTGAGGTTGATGACGGAAACAATGTCCCTGTTGTCACAGATGGGGATCCAGTTGATGTTGTCGTGGTGGATGTTTCAGTCGAGAATGGTGTAGATGTTGAAAAGGTGCTCTTGCTACTTGTTTCTCCTGTCGTGCTTGGTGGTGTGTGTTTTGGAGTAGTTGGGATGGTGGGAGTTGGAGTGGATCCTGTAGGAGTTGTTGTTTTTGATATTTCACTGGTGAATGGTGTAGATGGAGAAAAAGTGCTCTTCTTACTTGTTCCTTCTGTTGGTGGAGTGGATGGAGTTCCAGTTGTTGTGGTGGGTGATGAAGTGGAAGGAATGGTTGTTGTGCTAATTGTTCCTTCTGTTGCAGTTGTTGGAACGCTTGTGGATGTTGATGGCGAAAAGGTGCTCTTGCTACTTGTTTCTCCTGCCGTGCTTGGAGTACTGTGTGTTGGAGGAGTTGGGATGGTGGTTGTTGGAGTGGGAGTAGGACCTTCTGTTGTTTCTGTGGGTTCAGATGTACAGATTGTGGTTGTTTCCTCTGTGCTACCTGATGTTGAAGTGCTGGGAGTTGGTGGTGGGCCAATGGTGCTGGTTGTTGTGGGTGTTTTGGATGGTGTGACTGTGGGTGTTTTGGATGGTGTAACTGTGGGTGTCTCAGGTGTTCCGGGTGAGGTTGATGATGGAAACGATGTCCCTGTTGTTACAGATGGGGATCCAGTTGATGTTGTCGTGGTGGATGTTTCAGTCGAGAATGGTGTAGACGTCGAAAAGGTGCTCTTGCTACTTGTTTCTCCTGTCGTGCTTGGAGGTGTGTGTTTTGGAGTAGTTGGGATGGTGGGAGTTGGAGAGGAAGGAGTAACTGTGGACCCGGTAGGAGTTGTCGTTTTGGATACTGGAGTGGTGAATGGTGTAGATGGAGAAAAAGTGCTCTTGCTACTTGTTCCTTCTGTTGGTGTATGGGATGGAGTTCCGGTTGTTGTGGTGGGTGACGGAGTAGAAGGAATGGTCGTTGTGCTTATTGTTCCTTCTGTTGCAGTTGTTGGAACGCTTGTGGATGTTGATGGCGAAAAGGTGCTCTTGCTACTTGTTTCTCCTGCCGTGCTTGGAGTACTGTGTGTTGGTGGAGTTGGGATGGTGGTTGTTGGAGTGGAAGTAGGACCTTCTGTTGTTTCTGTGGGTTCAGATGTACAGATTGTGGTTGTTTCCTCTGTGCTACCTGATGTTGAAGTGCTGGGAGTTGGTGGTGGGCCAGTGGTGCTGGTTGTTGTGGGTGTTTTGGATGGTGTGACTGTGGGTGTTTTGGATGGTGTAACTGTGGGTGTCTCAGGTGTTCCGGGTGAGGTTGATGACGGAAACAATGTCCCTGTTGTCACAGATGGGGATCCAGTTGATGTTGTCGTGGTGGATGTTTCAGTCGAGAATGGTGTAGATGTTGAAAAGGTGCTCTTGCTACTTGTTTCTCCTGTCGTGCTTGGTGGTGTGTGTTTTGGAGTAGTTGGGATGGTGGGAGTTGGAGTGGATCCTGTAGGAGTTGTTGTTTTTGATATTTCACTGGTGAATGGTGTAGATGGAGAAAAAGTGCTCTTCTTACTTGTTCCTTCTGTTGGTGGAGTGGATGGAGTTCCAGTTGTTGTGGTGGGTGATGAAGTGGAAGGAATGGTTGTTGTGCTAATTGTTCCTTCTGTTGCAGTTGTTGGAACGCTTGTGGATGTTGATGGCGAAAAGGTGCTCTTGCTACTTGTTTCTCCTGCCGTGCTTGGAGTACTGTGTGTTGGTGGAGTTGGGATGGTGGTTGTTGGAGTGGGAGTAGGACCTTCTGTTGTTTCTGTGGGTTCAGATGTACAGATTGTGGTTGTTTCCTCTGTGCTACCTGATGTTGAAGTGCTGGGAGTTGGTGGTGGGCCAGTGGTGCTGGTTGTTGTGGGTGTTTTGGATGGTGTGACTGTGGGTGTTTTGGATGGTGTAACTGTGGGTGTCTCAGGTGTTCCGGGTGAGGTTGATGATGGAAACGATGTCCCTGTTGTTACAGATGGGGATCCAGTTGATGTTGTCGTGGTGGATGTTTCAGTCGAGAATGGTGTAGACGTCGAAAAGGTGCTCTTGCTACTTGTTTCTCCTGTCGTGCTTGGAGGTGTGTGTTTTGGAGTAGTTGGGATGGTGGGAGTTGGAGTGGACCCGGTAGGAGTTGTCGTTTTGGATACTGGAGTGGTGAATGGTGTAGATGGAGAAAAAGTGCTCTTGCTACTTGTTCCTTCTGTTGGTGTATGGGATGGAGTTCCGGTTGTTGTGGTGGGTGACGGAGTAGAAGGAATGGTCGTTGTGCTTATTGTTCCTTCTGTTGCAGTTGTTGGAACGCTTGTGGATGTTGATGGCGAAAAGGTGCTCTTGCTACTTGTTTCTCCTGCCGTGCTTGGAGTACTGTGTGTTGGTGGAGTTGGGATGGTGGTTGTTGGAGTGGAAGTAGGACCTTCTGTTGTTTCTGTGGGTTCAGATGTACAGATTGTGGTTGTTTCCTCTGTGCTACCTGATGTTGAAGTGCTGGGAGTTGGTGGTGGGCCAGTGGTGCTGGTTGTTGTGGGTGTTTTGGATGGTGTGACTGTGGGTGTTTTGGATGGTGTAACTGTGGGTGTCTCAGGTGTTCCGGGCGAGGTTGATGACGGAAACAATGTCCCTGTTGTCACAGATGGGGATCCAGTTGATGTTGTCGTGGTGGATGTTTCAGTCGAGAATGGTGTAGATGTTGAAAAGGTGCTCTTGCTACTTGTTTCTCCTGTCGTGCTTGGAGGTGTGTGTTTTGGAGTAGTTGGGATGGTGGGAGTTGGAGTGGATCCTGTAGGAGTTGTTGTTTTTGATATTTCACTGGTGAATGGTGTAGATGGAGAAAAAGTGCTCTTCTTACTTGTTCCTTCTGTTGGTGGAGTGGATGGAGTTCCAGTTGTTGTGGTGGGTGATGAAGTGGAAGGAATGGTTGTTGTGCTAATTGTTCCTTCTGTTGCAGTTGTTGGAACGCTTGTGGATGTTGATGTCGAAAAGGTGCTCTTGCTACTTGTTTCTCCTGCCGTGCTTGGAGTACTGTGTGTTGGTAGAGTTGGGATGGTGGTTGTTGGAGTGGGAGTAGGACCTTCTGTTGTTTCTGTGGGTTCAGATGTACAGATTGTGGTTGTTTCCTCTGTGCTACCTGATGTTGAAGTGCTGGGAGTTGGTGGTGGGCCAATGGTGCTGGTTGTTGTGGGTGTTTTGGATGGTGTGACTGTGGGTGTTTTGGATGGTGTAACTGTGGGTGTCTCAGGTGTTCCGGGTGAGGTTGATGATGGAAACGATGTCCCTGTTGTTACAGATGGGGATCCAGTTGATGTTGTCGTGGTGGATGTTTCAGTCGAGAATGGTGTAGACGTCGAAAAGGTGCTCTTGCTACTTGTTTCTCCTGTCGTGCTTGGAGGTGTGTGTTTTGGAGTAGTTGGGATGGTGGGAGTTGGAGAGGAAGGAGTAACTGTGGACCCGGTAGGAGTTGTCGTTTTGGATACTGGAGTGGTGAATGGTGTAGATGGAGAAAAAGTGCTCTTGCTACTTGTTCCTTCTGTTGGTGTATGGGATGGAGTTCCGGTTGTTGTGGTGGGTGACGGAGTAGAAGGAATGGTCGTTGTGCTTATTGTTCCTTCTGTTGCAGTTGTTGGAACGCTTGTGGATGTTGATGGCGAAAAGGTGCTCTTGCTACTTGTTTCTCCTGCCGTGCTTGGAGTACTGTGTGTTGGTGGAGTTGGGATGGTGGTTGTTGGAGTGGAAGTAGGACCTTCTGTTGTTTCTGTGGGTTCAGATGTACAGATTGTGGTTGTTTCCTCTGTGCTACCTGATGTTGAAGTGCTGGGAGTTGGTGGTGGGCCAGTGGTGCTGGTTGTTGTGGGTGTTTTGGATGGTGTGACTGTGGGTGTTTTGGATGGTGTAACTGTGGGTGTCTCAGGTGTTCCGGGCGAGGTTGATGACGGAAACAATGTCCCTGTTGTCACAGATGGGGATCCAGTTGATGTTGTCGTGGTGGATGTTGCAGTCGAGAATGGTGTAGATGTTGAAAAGGTGCTCTTGCTAATTGTTTCTCCTGTCGTGCTTGGAGGTGTGTGTTTTGGAGTAGTTGGGATGGTGGGAGTTGGAGTGGATCCTGTAGGAGTTGTTGTTTTTGATATTTCACTGGTGAATGGTGTAGATGGAGAAAAAGTGCTCTTCTTACTTGTTCCTTCTGTTGGTGGAGTGGATGGAGTTCCAGTTGTTGTGGTGGGTGATGAAGTGGAAGGAATGGTTGTTGTGCTAATTGTTCCTTCTGTTGCAGTTGTTGGAACGCTTGTGGATGTTGATGTCGAAAAGGTGCTCTTGCTACTTGTTTCTCCTGGCGTGCTTGGAGGACTGTGTGTTGGTATAGTTGGGATGGTGGTTGTTGGAGTGGGAGGAGGACCTTCTGTTGTTTCTGTGGGTTCAGATGTACAGATTGTGGTTGTTTCCTCTGTGCTACCTGATGTTGAAGTGCTGGGAGTTGGTGGTGGGCCAATGGTGCTGGTTGTTGTGGGTGTTTTGGATGGTGTGACTGTGGGTGTTTTGGATGGTGTAACTGTGGGTGTCTCAGGTGTTCCGGGTGAGGTTGATGATGGAAACGATGTCCCTGTTGTTACAGATGGGGATCCAGTTGATGTTGTCGTGGTGGATGTTTCAGTCGAGAATGGTGTAGACGTCGAAAAGGTGCTCTTGCTACTTGTTTCTCCTGTCGTGCTTGGAGGTGTGTGTTTTGGAGTAGTTGGGATGGTGGGAGTTGGAGAGGAAGGAGTAACTGTGGACCCGGTAGGAGTTGTCGTTTTGGATACTGGAGTGGTGAATGGTGTAGATGGAGAAAAAGTGCTCTTGCTACTTGTTCCTTCTGTTGGTGTATGGGATGGAGTTCCGGTTGTTGTGGTGGGTGACGGAGTAGAAGGAATGGTCGTTGTGCTTATTGTTCCTTCTGTTGCAGTTGTTGGAACGCTTGTGGATGTTGATGGCGAAAAGGTGCTCTTGCTACTTGTTTCTCCTGCCGTGCTTGGAGTACTGTGTGTTGGTGGAGTTGGGATGGTGGTTGTTGGAGTGGAAGTAGGACCTTCTGTTGTTTCTGTGGGTTCAGATGTACAGATTGTGGTTGTTTCCTCTGTGCTACCTGATGTTGAAGTGCTGGGAGTTGGTGGTGGGCCAGTGGTGCTGGTTGTTGTGGGTGTTTTGGATGGTGTGACTGTGGGTGTTTTGGATGGTGTAACTGTGGGTGTCTCAGGTGTTCCGGGTGAGGTTGATGACGGAAACAATGTCCCTGTTGTCACAGATGGGGATCCAGTTGATGTTGTCGTGGTGGATGTTTCAGTCGAGAATGGTGTAGATGTTGAAAAGGTGCTCTTGCTACTTGTTTCTCCTGTCGTGCTTGGTGGTGTGTGTTTTGGAGTAGTTGGGATGGTGGGAGTTGGAGTGGATCCTGTAGGAGTTGTTGTTTTTGATATTTCACTGGTGAATGGTGTAGATGGAGAAAAAGTGCTCTTCTTACTTGTTCCTTCTGTTGGTGGAGTGGATGGAGTTCCAGTTGTTGTGGTGGGTGATGAAGTGGAAGGAATGGTTGTTGTGCTAATTGTTCCTTCTGTTGCAGTTGTTGGAACGCTTGTGGATGTTGATGGCGAAAAGGTGCTCTTGCTACTTGTTTCTCCTGCCGTGCTTGGAGTACTGTGTGTTGGAGGAGTTGGGATGGTGGTTGTTGGAGTGGGAGTAGGACCTTCTGTTGTTTCTGTGGGTTCAGATGTACAGATTGTGGTTGTTTCCTCTGTGCTACCTGATGTTGAAGTGCTGGGAGTTGGTGGTGGGCCAATGGTGCTGGTTGTTGTGGGTGTTTTGGATGGTGTGACTGTGGGTGTTTTGGATGGTGTAACTGTGGGTGTCTCAGGTGTTCCGGGTGAGGTTGATGATGGAAACGATGTCCCTGTTGTTACAGATGGGGATCCAGTTGATGTTGTCGTGGTGGATGTTTCAGTCGAGAATGGTGTAGACGTCGAAAAGGTACTCTTGCCACTTGTTTCTCCTGTCGTGCTTGGAGGTGTGTGTTTTGGAGTAGTTGGGATGGTGGGAGTTGGAGAGGAAGGAGTAACTGTGGACCCGGTAGGAGTTGTCGTTTTGGATACTGGAGTGGTGAATGGTGTAGATGGAGAAAAAGTGCTCTTGCTACTTGTTCCTTCTGTTGGTGTATGGGATGGAGTTCCGGTTGTTGTGGTGGGTGACGGAGTAGAAGGAATGGTCGTTGTGCTTATTGTTCCTTCTGTTGCAGTTGTTGGAACGCTTGTGGATGTTGATGGCGAAAAGGTGCTCTTGCTACTTGTTTCTCCTGCCGTGCTTGGAGTACTGTGTGTTGGTGGAGTTGGGATGGTGGTTGTTGGAGTGGAAGTAGGACCTTCTGTTGTTTCTGTGGGTTCAGATGTACAGATTGTGGTTGTTTCCTCTGTGCTACCTGATGTTGAAGTGCTGGGAGTTGGTGGTGGGCCAGTGGTGCTGGTTGTTGTGGGTGTTTTGGATGGTGTGACTGTGGGTGTTTTGGATGGTGTAACTGTGGGTGTCTCAGGTGTTCCGGGTGAGGTTGATGACGGAAACAATGTCCCTGTTGTCACAGATGGGGATCCAGTTGATGTTGTCGTGGTGGATGTTTCAGTCGAGAATGGTGTAGATGTTGAAAAGGTGCTCTTGCTAATTGTTTCTCCTGTCGTGCTTGGAGGTGTGTGTTTTGGAGTAGTTGGGATGGTGGGAGTTGGAGAGGAAGGAGTAACTGTGGACCCGGTAGGAGCTGTCGTTTTGGATACTTGAGTGGTGAATGGTGTAGATGGAGAAAAAGTGCTCTTGCTACTTGTTCCTTCTATGGGTGTATGGGATGGAGTTCCGGTTGTTGTGGTGGGTGACGGAGTAGAAGGAATGGTCGTTGTGCTTATTGTTCCTTCTGTGGCAGTTGTTGGAACGCTTGTGGATGTTGATGGCGAAAAGGTGCTCTTGCTACTTGTTTCTCCTGCCGTGCTTGGAGTACTGTGTGTTGGTGTAGTTGGGATGGTGGTTGTTGGAGTGGAAGTTGTACCTTCTGTTGTTTCTGTGGGTTCAGATGTACAGATTGTGGTTGTTTCCTCTGTGCTACCTGATGTTGAAGTGCTGGGAGTTGGTGGTGGGCCAGTGGTGCTGGTTGTTGTGGGTGTTTTGGACGGTGTAACTGTGGGTGTCTCAGGTGTTCCGGGTGAGGTTGATGACGGAAACAATGTCCCTGTTGTTACAGATGGGGATCCAGTTGATGTTGTCGTGGTGGATGTTTCAGTCGAGAATGGTGTAGATGTTGAAAAGGTGCTCTTGCTACTTGTTTCTCCTGTCGTGCTTGGAGGTGTGTGTTTTGGAGTAGTTGGGATGTTGGGAGTTGGAGTGGATCCTGTAGGAGTTGTCGTTTTTGATATTTCACTGGTGAATGGTGTTGATGTCGAAAAGGTGCTCTTGCTACTTGTTTCCTCTGGGCTCGTTGGTATAGGGATTGTCACAGTTGTGCTGACAGTTATTATTGGCGCTAAAGGTGGTGTTGTTATGGAACCAGTAGTACTGATTGTTGGGAATGATTTTGATGGAGTGACAGAACTTGTTTCACTCGATTCGGGAGAGGTTGATGATGGAATTGGTGTCTCTGTGATAGATGTTGTGCCTGTAGATGTTGTTGTTTCTATTACTTCAGTTGTCGTTATAGAAACTTCAGTGGTGAACGATGAGCTAGTTGAAGTTGTCGTGGTGGATGTTTCAGTCGAGAATGGTGTGGATGTTGAAAAGGTGCTCTTGCTACTTGTTTCTCCTGTCGTGCTTGGAGGTGTGTGTTTTGGAGTAGTTGGGATGGTGGGAGTTGGAGTGGATCCTGTAGGAGTTGTTGTTTTTGATATTTCACTGGTGAATGGTGTAGATGGAGAAACAGTGCTCTTCTTACTTGTTCCTTCTGTTGGTGTATGGGATGGAGTTCCTGTTGTTGTGGTGGGTGACGGAGTAGAAGGAATGGTCGTTGTGCTTATTGTTCCTTCTGTTGGAGTTGTTGGAACGCTTGTGGATGTTGGTGTCGAATGTATGATGGTCGAGCTGATGGTGGTACCTTCCGTTGTTTCTGTGGGTTCGGATGTACAGATTGTGGTTGTTTCCTCTGTGGTACCTGATGTTGAAGTGCTGGGAGTTGGTGGTGGGCCAGTGGTGCTGGTTGTTGTGGGTGTTTTGGATGGTGTGACTGTGGGTGTTTTGGATGGTGTAACTGTGGGTGTCTCAGGTGTTCCGGGTGAGGTTGATGACGGAAACAATGTCCCTGTTGTTACAGATGGGGATCCAGTTGATGTTGTCGTGGTGGATGTTTCAGTCGAGAATGGTGTAGATGTTGAAAAGGTGCTCTTGCTACTTGTTTCTCCTGTCGTGCTTGGAGGTGTGTGTTTTGGAGTAGTTGGGATGGTGGGAGTTGGAGTGGATCCTGTCGGAGTTGTCGTTTTTGATATTTCACTGGTGAATGGTGTAGATGGAGAAACAGTGCTCTTGCTACTTGTTCCTTCTGTTGGTGGAGTGGATGGAGTTCCAGTTGTTGTGGTGGGTGATGAAGTGGAAGGAATGGTTGTTGTACTAATTGTTCCTTCTGTTGCAGTTGTTGGAACGCTTGTGGATGTCGATGTCGAATGTATGATGGTCGAGCTGATGGTTGTACCTTCTGTTGTTTCTGTCGGTTCGGATGTACAGATTGTGGTTGTTTCCTCTGTGCTACCTGATGTTGAAGTGCTGGGAGTTGGTGGTGGGCCAGTGGTGCTGGTTGTTGTGGGTGTTTTGGACGGTGTGACTGTGGGTGTTTTGGGTGGAGTAACTGTGGGTGTCTCAGGTGTTCCGGGTGAGGTTGATGATGGAATCAAGGTCCCTGTTGTTACAGATGGGGATCCAGTTGATGTTGTCGTGGTGGATGTTTCAGTCGAGAATGGTGTAGACGTCGAAAAGGTGCTCTTGCTACTTGTTTCTCCTGTCGTGTTTGGAGGTGTGTGTTTTGGAGTAGTTGGGTTGATGGGAGTTGGAGAGGAAGGAGTAACTGTGGACCCGGCAGGAGTTGTCGTTTTGGATACTTGGGTGGTGAATGGTGCAGATGATGAAAAAGTGCTCTTGCTACTTGTTCCTTCTGTTGGTGTATGGGATGGAGTTCCTGTTGTTGTGGTGGGTGACGGAGTAGAAGGAATGGTCGTTGTGCTTATTGTTCCTTCTGTTGGAGTTGTTGGAACGCTTGTGGATGTTGGTGTCGAATGTATGATGGTCGAGCTGATGGTGGTACCTTCTGTTGTTTCTGTGGGTTCGGATGTACAGATTGTGGTTGTTTCCTCTGTGCTCCCTGATGTTGAAGTGCTGGGAGTTGGTGGTGGGCCAGTGGTGCTGGTTGTTGTGGGTGTTTTGGATGGTGTGACTGTGGGTGTTTTGGATGGTGTAACTGTGGGTGTCTCAGGTGTTCCGGGTGAGGTTGATGACGGAAACAATGTCCCTGTTGTTACAGATGGGGATCCAGTTGATGTTGTCGTGGTGGATGTTTCAGTCGAGAATGGTGTAGATGTTGAAAAGGTGCTCTTGCTACTTGTTTCTCCTGTCGTGCTTGGAGGTGTGTGTTTTGGAGTAGTTGGGATGGTGGGAGTTGGAGTGGATCCTGTAGGAGTTGTCGTTTTTGATATTTCACTGGTGAATGGTGTAGATGGAGAAACAGTGCTCTTGCTACTTGTTCCTTCTGTTGGTGGAGTGGATGGAGTTCCAGTTGTTGTGGTGGGTGATGAAGTGGAAGGAATGGTTGTTGTACTAATTGTTCCTTCTGTTGCAGTTGTTGGAACGCTTGTGGATGTCGATGTCGAATGTATGATGGTCGAGCTGATGGTTGTACCTTCTGTTGTTTCTGTCGGTTCGGATGTACAGATTGTGGTTGTTTCCTCTGTGCTACCTGATGTTGAAGTGCTGGGAGTTGGTGGTGGGCCAGTGCTGCTGGTTGTTGTGGGTGTTTTGGACGGTGTGACTGTGGGTGTTTTGGGTGGAGTAACTGTGGGTGTCTCAGGTGTTCCGGGTGAGGTTGATGATGGAATCAAGGTCCCTGTTGTTACAGATGGGGATCCAGTTGATGTTGTCGTGGTGGATGTTTCAGTCGAGAATGGTGTAGACGTCGAAAAGGTGCTCTTGCTACTTGTTTCTCCTGTCGTGCTTGGAGGTGTGTGTTTTGGAGTAGTTGGGTTGATGGGAGTTGGAGAGGAAGGAGTAACTGTGGACCCGGCAGGAGTTGTCGTTTTGGATACTTGGGTGGTGAATGGTGTAGATGAAGAAAAAGTGCTCTTGCTACTTGTTCCTTCTGTTGGTGTATGGGATGGAGTTCCTGTTGTTGTGGTGGGTGACGGAGTAGAAGGAATGGTCGTTGTGCTTATTGTTCCTTCTGTTGGAGTTGTTGGAACGCTTGTGGATGTTGTTGTCGAATGTATGATGGTCGAGGTGATGGTGGTACCTTCCGTTGTTTCTGTGGGTTCGGATGTGCAGATTGTGGTTGTTTCCTCTGTGGTACCTGATGTTGAAGTGCTGGGAGTTGGTGGTGGGCCAGTGGTGCTGGTTGTTGTGGGTGTTTTGGATGGTGTGACTGTGGGTGTTTTGGATGGTGTAACTGTGGGTGTCTCAGGTGTACCGGGTGAGGTTGATGACGGAAACAATGTCCCTGTTGTTACAGATGGGGATCCAGTTGATGTTGTCGTGGTGGATGTTTCAGTCGAGAATGGTGTAGATGTTGAAAAGGTGCTCTTGCTACTTGTTTCTCCTGTCGTGCTTGGAGGTGTGTGTTTTGGAGTAGTTGGGATGGTGGGAGTTGGAGTGGATCCTGTCGGAGTTGTCGTTTTTGATATTTCACTGGTGAATGGTGTAGATGGAGAAACAGTGCTCTTGCTACTTGTTCCTTCTGTTGGTGGAGTGGATGGAGTTCCAGTTGTTGTGGTGGGTGATGAAGTGGAAGGAATGGTTGTTGTACTAATTGTTCCTTCTGTTGCAGTTGTTGGAACGCTTGTGGATGTTGATGTCGAATGTATGATGGTCGAGCTGATGGTGGTACCTTCCGTTGTTTCTGTGGGTTCGGATGTGCAGATTGTGGTTGTTTCCTCTGTGGTACCTGATGTTGAAGTGCTGGGAGTTGGTGGTGGGCCAGTGGTGCTGGTTGATGTGGGTGTTTTGGATGGTGTGACTGTGGGTGTTTTGGATGGTGTGACTGTGGGTGTCTCAGGTGTTCCGGGTGAGGTTGATGACGGAAACAATGTCCCTGTTGTTACAGATGGGGATCCAGTTGATGTTGTCGTGGTGGATGTTTCAGTCGAGAATGGTGTAGATGTTGAAAAGGTGCTCTTGCTACTTGTTTCTCCTGTCGTGCTTGGAGGTGTGTGTTTTGGAGTAGTTGGGATGGTGGGAGTTGGAGTGGATCCTGTAGGAGTTGTTGTTTTTGATATTTCACTGGTGAATGGTGTAGATGGAGAAACAGTGCTCTTGCTACTTGTTCCTTCTGTTGGTGGAGTGGATGGAGTTCCAGTTGTTGTGGTGGGTGATGAAGTGGAAGGAATGGTTGTTGTACTAATTGTTCCTTCTGTTGCAGTTGTTGGAACGCTTGTGGATGTTGATGTCGAATGTATGATGGTCGAGCTGATGGTGGTACCTTCTGTTGTTTCTGTCGGTTCGGATGTACAGATTGTGGTTGTTTCCTCTGTGCTACCTGATGTTGAAGTGCTGGGAGTTGGTGGTGGGCCAGTGGTGCTGGTTGTTGTGGGTGTTTTGGACGGTGTGACTGTGGGTGTTTTGGGTGGAGTAACTGTGGGTGTCTCAGGTGTTCCGGGTGAGGTTGATGATGGAATCAAGGTCCCTGTTGTTACAGATGGGGATCCAGTTGATGTTGTCGTGGTGGATGTTTCAGTGGAGAATTTTGTAGACGTCGAAAAGGTGCTCTTGCTACTTGTTTCTCCTGTCGTGCTTGGAGGTGTGTGTTTTGGAGTAGTTGGGTTGATGGGAGTTGGAGAGGAAGGAGTAACTGTGGACCCGGCAGGAGTTGTCGTTTTGGATGCTTGGGTGGTGAATGGTGTAGATGAAGAAAAAGTGCTCTTGCTACTTGTTCCTTCTGTTGGTGTATGGGATGGAGTTCCTGTTGTTGTGGTGGGTGACTGAGTAGAAGGAATGGTCGTTGTGCTTATTGTTCCTTCTGTTGGAGTTGTTGGAACGCTTGTGGATGTTGGTGTCGAATGTATGATGGTCGAGCTGATGGTGGTACCTTCCGTTGTTTCTGTGGGTTCGGATGTACAGATTGTGGTTGTTTCCTCTGTGCTACCTGATGTTGAAGTGCTGGGAGTTGGTGGTGGGCCAGTGGTGCTGGTTGTTGTGGGTGTTTTGGATGGTGTGACTGTGGGTGTTTTGGATGGTGTAACTGTGGGTGTCTCAGGTGTTCCGGGTGAGGTTGATGACGGAAACAATGTCCCTGTTGTTACAGATGGGGATCCAGTTGATGTTGTCGTGGTGGATGTTTCAGTCGAGAATGGTATAGATGTTGAAAAGGTGCTCTTGCTAATTGTTTCTCCTGTCGTGCTTGGAGGTGTGTGTTTTGGAGTAGTTGGGATGGTGGGAGTTGGAGTGGATCCTGTAGGAGTTGTCGTTTTTGATATTTCACTGGTGAATGGTGTAGATGGAGAAACAGTGCTCTTCTTACTTGTTCCTTCTGTTGGTGGAGTGGATGGAGTTCCAGTTGTTGTGGTGGGTGATGAAGTGGAAGGAATGGTTGTTGTACTAATTGTTCCTTCTGTTGCAGTTGTTGGAACGCTTGTGGATGTTGATGTCGAATGTATGATGGTCGAGCTGATGGTGGTACCTTCTGTTGTTTCTGTCGGTTCGGATGTACAGATTGTGGTTGTTTCCTCTGTGCTACCTGATGTTGAAGTGCTGGGAGTTGGTGGTGGGCCAGTGGTGCTGGTTGTTGTGGGTGTTTCGGACGGTGTGACTGTGGTCTTGCTAATTGTTCCTTCTGTTGGTCGAGTGGATGGAGTTCCAGTTGTTGTGATGGGTGACGAAGTGGAAGGAATGGTTGTTGTACTAATTGTTCCTTCTGTTGCAGTTGTTGGAACGCTTGTGGATGTTGATGTCGAAAAGGTGCTCTTGCTACTTGTTTCTCCTGGCGTGCTTGGAGTACTGTGTGTTGGTGTAGTTAGGATGGTGGTTGTTGGAGTGTGAGGAGGACCTTCTGTTGTTTCTGTGGCTTCGGATGTGCAGATTGTGGTTGTTTCCTCTGTGCTGCCTGATGTTGAAGTGCTGGGAGTTGGTGGGGAGCCAGTGGTGTTAGTTGTCGTGGGTGTTTTTGAAGGTGTAACTATGGGTGTGCCAGTTGTTCCCAATGAGCTTGAAGACAGATTTGGTGTCTCTGTTATGATAGATATGGTTGGTGTTGTCAAAGTTGAGGTTGTTGTGACCGGTGTACTTGTTTCAGTACTTGATGTCTGACTTGTTGTTGATATTGTATTTTCAGGTGTAGTCGTGTCAGGTTGACAAATATAGTATGGACAGCAGAGGCTTATTTCATAATTATAACACATTTCCATGTCTGGTTGTTCATCATTCTTGCATATGAGTCCAAAAGAAATGTTGCAATGAACTGTTTGTCCTGTGCTTTCCAAGGGGACATCCGGAGCCTGAATTAATCTGCACTTAATCTCACTGGGTGGGTCACATATTTCCTGTCCTTCCTTCTTAATTTTATCGTAAGTTTCAAAATCACCTTCTCCAGGCCCAAATTGTGGAGTACTTACACTGATCCAGTCTGTCCAGTTACATTGCTGCACTATCACACAGGTCGCTGTGAAGCAAAAATAACAAACAACAACAGATTACATTTGTATCGTGTCTGTCATATCAGTCTGTCTCTTGAAGTCTGCTACTATGCTCACTGTTTACGACTTTTTGTAGCTTTATATCATCTGCAAACTTGGAAATTGTGCTCCCTATACCCAAGTCCAGATCATTTATACAGATTAAAAAGAACACTGGTCGTAATACCGATCCCTGGGGGACAACGCTGGATACTTCCCTCCAGTCAGAGAAACTACCATTTACCACTACACTCTGCTTTCTGTCCCCCAGCCAGTTTTTTATCCATGCTGCCACTGTCCCTTTAACACTGTGGGCTTCAATTTTTCTAACAAGTTTATTATGTGGCACTTTATCAAAAGCCTTTTGAAAATCCATATAAACTACATCAACTGAACTACCTTCATCCACCCTCTCCGTTACTTCATCAAAAAACTTATCAGGTTGTTAGCTATGATTTGCCTTTAACAAATCTGTGTTGGCTGTCCTTTAGTAACCCATATTTTTTTGAGTGAAAATTTATTTTGTCCCGGATTATAATCTCTGGAAATTTCCCCACTACCTATGTTAGGTTGATTGGCCTGTAGCTTCCAGGTTTATTCTTCTCCCCCTATTTGTATGGTGGAGTAACATTTGCAATCGCCCCAGTCCTCTGGCACCACTCCAGGATCCAAGGAGGATTGAAAGATTGTGGCCAGAGCTTCCATTATTTCCACCCTTACTTCCCTCAGTAACTTAGGATGCATCCTGTTCAGACCGGGTGACTTATCTACCTTGAGCACCGTCAACCTTTTTAGTACCCCTTCTCTGTTTATTTTTATCCCATCCAATTTCTCTACCCTATTCTCCGATACTGTGGTATTGGCTTCAATCCTCTTTTGTGAAGACAGTTGCAAAGTACTCATTCAGTACGTCAGCCATTCCCTCTGCCCCCACAAGAAGATTTCCACTTTGGTCCCTAATCAGCCCCACCCTACCTTCAACTAATTTAATTCTTTATCTGCTTATAACATACTTTATGTTGCCCGCTAATCTTTTTTCATACAATCTGTTTGCCCCTCTTTTTTCCATTTTTAGTTCTCCTTTGTACTTTCTATAGTCTGTTTGATTGCTTTCTGTATTTTGGACCGGACATTTATTATAAGCCTCCTTTTTCTGTTTTATTTTAATCCCAGTGGTCTTCATCATCCAGGGAGCTTTCGATGCCCTACCTTTCTCCTTCGTGGGAATGTATTTGTCCTGTCCCCAAACTATCTCCTACTTGAAAGTTTCCAGTTGCTCATTAGCCGTTTTGCCTACCAATCTTTCTTTCCAGTCCACCTTGGCTAGATCCCTTTTCAATTCACTGAAATTAGCCCTCTTTCAATTGAGTATCTCCACCTTTGATTGTTCCTTGTCCCTTTCCATAAGTACTCTAAACCTAATGATGTTTTGATCAGTTATCCCATCGCTCTCCCACTGAAATCTGGTCCACTTGCCCCACTTTATTCCCCAGAACAAGATCCAGCACCTTCCTCATTGGGTTGATCAAGACTGTTGATGGTCAACAGGATGCCGAGGTTCCATATTGAGATTGATAGATTTTTAAAAACTAAAGGGATTAAGAGCTATGGGGAAAGGGCGGGTAAATGAAATTAGGTTAGATCAGTCATAATCTTATTAAATGGAGGGGCCGAATAGTCTACTCCTGCTCCTATTTCTTATGTTCTTATATTGGCTCTGTGAGGTGTAGAGTGCATCTATGAAGGGTGATGCTGACAGTGCCTGAGGTATTGAGGCGCTGATGGGAGCCAAGCAGGAGGGCCTTGGTCTTGTTGAAATTCATCTGCAGAAAGTTAGCTCTCATCCAGGATTTGATATCCGACAGGCAGTCTGTGAGGACAGCAGTGGACCTGGAATCGAGGGTGGAGGCAAAGAGGTAGAGTTGGGTGTGGAAGTTGACTCCATGCCTATGGATGATGTCACCAAGGGGTAACATGCAGATGTGAAAAGGAGAGGACCAAGGACAGAGTCTTGAGGGATGCCACATGTGATGGTGTGGGGGCTGGAGGAGAAGCCATTAATGGGGAAAAAATTTTTTCTTATTGAAAGAAAATATTGTTTTGTTTATAATGTTGGTCAATGATTAGAAAGTGGCTACCATTCAACATTCATACGGAATTAATAACTGATGAACAAGTTTATTTTCACTTTTCTCTTTTCAAGTTTTTACAAACTTTTTAATGCAAATGCACAGTTAAATGATATTAAAAACAATTTTTCCAGCTAGGACTTTTGCTTGGCATTATCTTGCCCAAACAACTTTTATATATTCCTACCTCTGAAAATTAAATGCCCTGGGACGCTACCCTGTGTGAGGGGGCTACATATAAATGTTGTTGTAGATAAGTTTTTGAAATGAGTAACATTTAAGTTTGCTTACTTGTAGCTATTTTTGGCGTTGTCATGGTCGTTGAAGGTGGTGGTATGAATGCTGAAAAAGTAAAATAAATGTCTCAAAAAAAAACACTTTTTTCAACATTATCAGAGTCAAAATAGTTTCAAAATCCCAATGTGTTATAGTGTAGTTATATGTGAACGTAAGAAAGGAAACCTGTGATTCCTGCAAAACTAAAACTGAAACAGAAAAGTCTGGAAATTCACAGTATGAGGATCAGTAACTGAAGAGAAAATTATGTTGATAATTTGGTTAGTATTTTCATTAAAACTGATCTTGACAAACTAAACGTGGTGAAATCTTGAGTGGTTTGTTGAGGATAAATGAGGGGTATCGGAATGTCTGAACAAAACAGGTTTTATTGCGCACCTTTTATGATAGTTGGTGCAAGACCGCTCTCATTGCTTATGCTTGCTGCCTGGCTGCTTGAAAGAGGAATGGCATGTGCAAACTTGGTGCTCAAACAAGAGCAGACAATTTTAAAAATAGGGATAAAATTCAAGAAACTAATTTTTAGGTGATGACACAATAACATAGAACTTGAAATATGCAAAGTGAATATATGGGAACTCAGATGAGAACAATATTCAACTAAGACTGTTCTCAGATAGGTGCCATACATTTGTAATACTTAACATAATAACTGAAACTTGATATTCCGTACAGTGAATGTAATCAGCACATTACTCCTTGGGGAAGGGGCAGGTCATTGGGAGTCAGCTTTGAAACAATTTGAGACATCCTCCCAACGTAATAGGAGCTATATGAAATGTAAGGAATATTATCTCTATTGTTTGATCTGGCACCATCAGAGGGGTCATAGAAAAAATAGCCACAACTTGTACAGTAATTTCAATGAATTACATGTCAGAATTGTGAATATGATATGTGAAGCAGGAAGTCTACACTTTTGGTGAGAAGCAAATACTCAATGCTGAGGTAAATTTTCAAGTTGAGGAAAGGTCTACTTTGAAATGTCCAAATCTTTGTACAGCTCTGTCAATATAAACATCTTACTTGTTGAGGATATGATAGAAGAGGTGGATGTAATCGGTAGTGCAGTTGTGGTTGGAGTAGGTGTTGTACAGTCCTCTATAGTCCTGTTAATTGTTCCATTGGCAGCACAAATTGCTATAATGCAATCTCCCAAACCATCTGTTATGTTATAAATGACTTCATCTGGTCTGTATACTGTGCCATTGTATATACAGACACAAGCTGTAATGAAAAAACATGGGAAACTTATAAAGTTTGAAATTGGCTATTTGGAAATAGGATTTCATTTAATTTACAATTTAGTCCGTTTGTACTCACCACTGCTATCATTCCAACATATGATGCCATTTGATGTACACCAGCTAAAAGAAAGTTATAATTTGTCAATTTGTTAGACTGCAGACAACATTCCAATTATACGTGTTTTTACAGAGTTTGACACGATACAGTGCATCCATGTTATAATGCGGTAGTTGGAGTCCAGAAAATCTCAACGCATACTATAACAAGGCATGGGACCTTCGCATCATGACGCCATTGACCATATGAAGGCTCTATGCGGGTGCAGAAAATCAATTGGTTTCTGCACTACAAGTGGCCAACTTTTGGACATCAGCATCACTTCTGTGTGCTGTGCATGCATACAGACTCGCCAGCCTCACAATACATAACCAAACCTGTTGCCACAAACAGGTTAGTTTGTGCACTGACTCAATGTGCCACCAAATCTAGTACAGCAAATAGCACATTGACACAACATGCATGTGCAGCAAGCTGGCCACAGGTCAACACTGCTTCTGTTTTCTTAGCAAACCAGCGCTATAACGAGTTTGTTGAGGAATCGACACAACAATATTTCACAATGAGTCTGCTATTCATTGCAAAAAAATCTACATACCATATTTCACAGTTATTGGTGGTCGGCACAGTCTCATTATATTCATAACGGTTCATATTTTCATCATAACAGGGACAGTCCTCAACACACTCTTTTTTAATTTCATCATAGATGGGCTTGTCTGGTGGACACTTAGGATAGCAGCCTAAGAGAAAATAAATCAAAAGCAAGATGTACATTGTAAACTTTTAGAGGAGAAACTGAATTGGCATTGTTAATTTAGACAGCTAAACTGATTCACACTCAGAGTGTGAATCTGTTTAAATTGGATCCAGGATCATGTGTTCTGAAACTAATGTCGCACAATCCTAGATCACCTGAAGCAATTTGTATCTTTCCATTAAATATTTGCTTCAATTGTCTCCTTCAAGGCCCATCTCAAAACTTTGCTCTTCGACCGCACCTTCTAGCTGCACCTCAACATTCTTTGTCCTCCTTCCCTCTTGACTCCACCCTCCAGTTCAGGTGCAAACCCTTCATTGTCCAGTACCTTAGAATGTCCACCCATTGAAAAGCCGTTATATAAATGCAATTTGTTGTTATGTCGTCAAGATGTCTAAAAGCACTTTACAGGATATGCTGTAAAATGGTATGACTATTTTGTAGATGAAAAAACAATTTGTGCACAACAATGTCCGAAACATGGAGTGAATGACCAATTTTATTTTGGGGATTGGTAGCTACGACATCAGAACCCTCCCCGCCCACCTCTCTTTTAGAATAGTGTCATGGGATTATTAATGTCTACCTCAATAGACACAAAAGCGACTTCAGTTTAACATCTCATTCGAAGGCTGGCACATCCAACAATACAGAACAATCCCAGTACTGCATTGGAGTGTCAGCCCAGTCTGTATCAGTTCTAAGTCCTGACTTGGGGCTTGAACCCACAATCTTCTGACCACGAGGCAAGAGTGCTACCAACTGAGCCAGATTACCACAGAGGATTGGACCAATTCTGGCATTCTGAGGCCAAGCATTTCAGCTTAGAGCCAGCTCAACTCAAAGGAGAACCTGCTCACGTTCCTCCCCAAGGGGAAAATGAAAGTCATGCAAAAATGCAAAAATGTAAATTACCTTCTAGCTGAAGAGTGACATTGAGGCCCTCTGGGTTCAGGCAGGTTTTTAAATTGGCTCCACAGGGGTAATAGCGCCAATCACAAACTTCCAAGGAAGGGTTGTAGTATTCACAGAACATGGCTAAAAGGAAAGGAAATCTGTGTTAAATACTAAGCAGTTATTTCAATAATTTGCTTGATGTTTTCTTTGCAAATCTTTCCCTCATTGTCATTTTTATGTTCCTGTTATCCCCCTATTTTCTTTATCCCTTTTTTTTATTCTTGTCTTAGCAGAAGAAATTGTAGCAACAAGTCTAGGGCTAATGAGCTGAGAATTCTTCAGTTGGACTGGCGGGACCACAGTGTTTCATACTTCTTTCTAAGATAGTTGCCTAAAAATTATGCCAGCTGAATATGAGTCCTTTCCAGGGTGCCCTGTGCCCGTATTCGCAGGTTGAGAGGCTGTGGCATGCTCTTGGCATGGGCGTGATGAGGCCCCAATGGTACGACAACATACACAGGCTACCATGCTGTCCTGCACGGGTGAAAGGACCCTATTCCTAGGAGGGGATGGTGGCAAACAGGTGTGGCGGTTTGCCCAGGCAGGCTGGGCTATCCCGAATGCATGGTGAGCAGCTGGCGTTTATCCGGAAAACTGACAGCGAACATGAGGCCCAACCGCCCCGGCTCTAGGGCCCCCTGCACCGTGCATAGGGTCCGGAATGTTCTTGGTGCCCAGGGCCCCAAGAATTCTTAATCCAGCTCTGCCTCCAATTATCCTTCATATCCTATATCTGGGCTTGCATTTGCTTGGCTTTCCTTCATCTTTTTGTCTCAGCAGAAGAAATTGTAGCAACAAGTCTTCCCTGCCACTACGTCATCCTCAAGCTGCTGAGATACTCATTCATTCCTTTATCCTTCTTCACATCCGGACTCACAAATCTCCCCAGCTTGGCTTGTGAAACATATACTCTCTGTCTTGTCTATATCCCTTAGTGTTTCTGTCTGGTATTTTTTTGGATGTCTCTCCTGTTGAGGTAGCAACAACAGCAAAATTATATATGTATAGCGCCTTTCACATTGGGAAGATGTCCCAGGGCGCTGTACAGGCAGAGATTCGGACCTGTGCTGGGGATTGGGGAGAGTGGAGGGCGGGGAGATCGAAAACACGGTCAAAGAAGAGGGTCTTCAGATGAGTCTTGAAGGAGGCAACATTTGGGTTGTTCAATGTATTAAGCGTGGATTAATTTTATCTCCGCAATTTGCGATGCAATTTAATATCAGGTGGATACGGCCATGATGTAAGGCACTAATGGCCACGAGGTGGCAGCATCTCCCCCTCCCGCCCTCCCTCCGAATTCTTGATTCAATTTTCAAAGTTGTGCCCTCTGCCATTTTTCTTGGAGCTCATACAGTTGACTGATTTACATTGGCTTTACATTGTAGTCCCTAGAGATAGTTGTCAGCTTTTAATCTGGTTTGATAGTTATTAGTTATGTCATAATAAAGGAAGTGCCTTATTCTGAAGTTGATATAAAAGTGTTACATTACTTTGCAGAGTTTCTCCTGGTGTCCTGGCCAACTATTCCCCAGATAAAATTGATTATTCACTTTACGGTTGTTTGTGGGACATTGATTGCCGTGTTTCCCACATACACAGTTACTTTAAGATCCTGTCTGTACAGATGGATGTTAAAGATCCCACAGTGCTATTCAAAGAGAGAATGGAGTTTCTTCTATTCTCCTGGGCAACACTGCCCCAGATAAAATTGTTCATTCAATTTGTGGCTATTTGTAGGATTTTGCTATATCGTGTATTCCTGTAGCACAGTGGTTAGAGCACTCGCTTTGCAAGTGAGAGACCTGAGTTCAATTCCAGGCAGAGGGCGAAACCTTGGGCAAGTTTCCTTACTCCACACAGAGCCTAATAATAATCCCTCCAAAAACCAAAAACAATAATAAATCGGTCATTTTCAATCTATGACTGTTTGTGGGACATTGTGTGCGCAATTGGCTGCCGCGTTCGCCCACAAATACAACAACAACAAGATTCCATTTATAAAGCGCCTTTCACGTCAGGAGGACGTCCCAAGGCGCTGCACAGTTGGGTCATGACCCGAGCATTGGGGGGAAATGGTCAGGGTGAGGGGAGGGAAGGGAGGGAGCGAGGAGGGGGGAAATGGTCAGGGTGAGGGGAGGGAGGGAGCGAGAAGGGGGGAAGAGAGTCGAGAGGGGAGCTGAAGACTCGGTCAAAGAGAAAGGTTTTGAGACCGGCCTTGAAGGAGGAGAGGGAGGAGGCAAGGCGAAGGCACTGGGGGATAGAGTTCCAGAGCCTCGGGGCTAAGATGCTGATATACAGTCAATTCACTTTACAGTGTGTTCTGTGAAGCGCTTTGGGACGTCCTCCCGACGTGAAAAGCGCTATATCAAATGCAAGGATTATTATTATTATATGCAAATTACGACCTGCAATATATCAAATGTGAGGATTATAATTATTATTACTATGAGAATCAGTTTTACTTCTAAACTTTTTACCGTTTGAGCTCCAGGACTTCAACATAAGTAAGGCTGAGATTGTGAATGTACATGAGCCCTTGGGTGAGGCACTGACACTGTCACCTGGTGGTCAGTTAGTGTATTGCACAATGATTAGTGGGAATCTCACAATAATAATCCTTGCATTTGATATAGTGATTTACCACGTCTTCCAGGCGTCTCAAACCGCTTCACAGAATATCCTATGAAGTGAATTGATTATCTTTTGTCGGCGAAACACAGCAGTCAATTGCACACAGCAGTGTCCCATAAACAGTCGTCGATTGAAGTGATCAATTTATTAATATTTTTTTTGAAGGAATTATTACCCCTGGAAAAGCGATCCATCAATTGACTAACAACTAGGTTCCTACTTACTGCTAGGTAAACAGAGGCGTGTGGAGTAAGGAAACTTGCTCAACGTTTTGCCCTGCCGGGAATCAAACCCAGGTCTCTTGATTGAGAGGTGAATGCAATGTTAGTTTATGTCTATTATTCTATCAAAAATATAATGCAATACACATTTACATTCATATAGTACCATTCTCATTGGGAGGAAATCCCAAGACCATGGACATTTTAAGGTTTGAACCTGAACTTGGAGTGGGGCCTGGGAGAGTGGAGGTGGTGGTGGGGGGAAAGATGATTGAAGGCGTGGTCAAAGAGGAAGTGGACCTTGAAGTTGATAGGCTTGCGGAGATTAGTGCAGGAAAGCAATGAGTTGCAGAGCTCCAGATAGTGAGCTTTTGAAGAGTCTTGTCGTCTGGCAAGCAGAGTTGGCGTAAACCAACCATTTACCCCAGTAATACAGGTCAACTCCTGAATTGGGACGTCCTCCCAACGTGAAAGGCACTATACAAATATAATTTTGTTGTTGTTGTTGATGGTATTCAGCACTTGGGAATTCAATACACATAATGTCAAAATAATTCAACTATCTGATAAGATCAAAGTTTTTGTGTTCACTGTCTAATATATTGATCAAAAATTGAACTGGGAGGGCATTCATGAAAACATTTGAATTATACATACATCTTATGTTTTATTCAGGTAGTGAAGATTCTGAAAGTGAGGGACATGTTGTAGGGAAATGTAATTTTAGGAACCCTGATGTCGGCATCAGCCTTTCTCATTAGGTCAAATATATCGTGGATTTGAACTAATAAAGCTCCTTCCCCCCAACATAATACTTTAGTATGAATTTCAGAAGACATGGCTTGTACTATTACAACTTTTCCATTACTCACATCACAAATTCTTTTGAAGGAAATTGACAACTTAAGTGTTAATTAATGGCAATCTCCGCAGTTTTATGCCATTGAAACTAAATTTGTTTAATCCTGAAAAATTATTACTGCTGAGGGGAAACTTTCCTTCGATCAGTCTTTGCTGAAATCAAACAGGATAAAAAACATGCTTTCCCCAAATTTCATTAACACTTTGTACATGAGTATACATACGGCAGATATCAGGAGTCCTCCAATCAATACATGCACCAGCTTCTTTGCAGGCAAAAGCGTAGGCAGCTACAGCAGTACAGAAACACATGCAGTCTCCACCAGTGTCACAGGAACACGAATCATGAACGCATGCATCAAAATATGGAGTTGCATCAACCTGTAAACAAATGATTAATTAATAATAATAATCCTTGCATTTAATAATTTCATGTATAATTTTAAATATAATAGGGATAACACATTTAAAAAATAGAAAAGAGTTGCACAAACCTTTTCGTGACACGTTTTAAAGACTTCACTCATAATGATCTGGCATATCGAAATTGCCCATACATTTCGAACTGGATGTTCGATGCAAGGATCTTTGCCATGAATAGCATCTTGACACAAAGGGGACACTTTCCAGCTGTTTGCAAACTCATAAACGTCAGCAACGGTATACCGGCCCCTTGTTGTGAATTCATTGGAGTTTCCATCGAAATTACCACATAATCCGCAAACTTCTCCCTGATGTTTCAAAAGGAAAACGTCAATGAACCATTGTCTCCAAATAAATCATAAATGTTAACTATTATATATTGTCTCTTAATTTTAGCAAATCATTTATTGTGTATTTCTAATGAATGGCGTATAATAGCCCTATTGTACCTTTCTAAAAAGATCAGATATTTGTGTGTTGATACTTTATAAATGTTTGAGGAAAATGGATATTTGGATTGCAGCTATTTTCTACTTGTACCTTGTAAGAAGATGTCAGCTCGATAAAGATGCTAGTCTTTTTGTCCCATATTAAAGTCAATCCGTTGTTAGCTTCTACCACCACAAAAAGGCCAAGAGTACGGACAATGAAAGGGAATGGTTCATTTTCATTTGGACTTATTGCTTTGTGTTTGTCTTCACCTAGAACCAGTTCAAAATTCTGAAAAAGGAAATAATTAGGTTTTAGCTCCAAAATAACATTTAAACATCAGTATAATAGATTTGAAATAAATAGGTAGAAAACTAATACATTACATTCAAGAAAAGTTTGATTGACTTATAGCATGTTGTTTTAGTGGTCCCACAGGGAATGTTTTCTATAACAACGCTGAAAGTGCCGTTGCTGGATTGGTCTCCGCAATAATCCTGGAAATTCAGAGTAGAGAATCAAGTCATTACTTTGACATGTAATTAATTTAGAAATGACATATTGGAGCAGTTAATTGGTGTTTCATCGCTGTGTTCTGGAACAGTGAGATATGGATTCATGCCTGGGATTTTCAAGATGCACCTTGAAGGAAGCAAGGGAGGGAGCGAGTCAAAGGGAATGTGGGATGGAGTTCCATAGAGTGGGGGCAGAAAGGCTGAAGACCCAGCTGCTGATGGGGGAATTGGGCCAGGCGGGGGATGCGGAGCAGGCTGAGCGGAAGGAGTGAACATGGGGTCAGCAGGTTGCAGAAGTAGGGAGGGGCAAGGCCATGGAGGGCCTTGATGGCGGGGGCTAGAGGAGAAGCTGTTTGTAGTGATGAAGTGGAGACAGTGTGAGAGGTAGCAACTAAGCCACTCAAGGACAGGGACATGAAAGTTGAGGTGAGAGGAGAGGCGATGGAGGAGGATAGAGTAGTCAACTGTATTGAAGCAACAGAGAGGTCAAAGAAGATGAGAAGGCAGAGGGAGCCCTGGGCGCAGATGGACAAAATGTCATTTGTCACTTTGACCAAAGCTGTTTCTGTGCTGTGGGAGGCACGGAAACCCGATTGACGGGAGAGGAAGAGGCGATGCTGGAAAGCAATGACTCATTCCAAGACCTTGGAAAGGAAAGGGAGCTTGGGGATGGGGTGGTAATTTGGAAATGGGAAATAAAAGCTTACCTGCACCAGGACGTATGCACAATTCCCATCAAAATTATAACGAACACCATCAAATGTAATGTAATGGCCATTTCCATATGCTGTGCATTTTCCAATGAAGGGAATGGGTATAGAGTCCCCCCAAATGCCTTTCTGACATGTGCTGTGTAGAAATAAAAGGTTTGAAGTAATACACAAAAAATGTCAAACTATGATGAACAGTTGTGATATCAGAAGCCAACTAGATTCCAGAACAGGGGAGATAGCATCTTAAAATTAAGCACAACTAAGCAGCTTACAGTGAATTCAAAAACATTTGTTCATACAAAGGGTTGTGAAAATGTTAAATGTCCTGCTCCAAAAGGCTACAGTTTCAGAATCAAATAGAGAAGAGGTGAAGAAATGGGATTGAAAAAGTCAAAATCTGCTTGTTTAAAGTTAAAACTGAATTTATCAATTTACTAAATCTGCACATTCTCAAATGCTGTTTAGTACAGTAAATCTAGGTTGAATTTGTAACCTTAGATCATCTTAAATTGTTTTATTCCCTCACATAGTTTGATTTTACTGCAGCAAGAACATGTGTTGTACATGAAATGTGATGTAATGGGTTAAAAATAATACTAGATATTAACACAGGAACTGGTTTTGTAATATAATATTTCTACAAAGTTTAAGTAGATATTTCCAGTTTGTTAGAAAACATTATATTAAATGTTTAGATGAATTGTAGGTGGTAAGTTACCTAATTTTGCGATCAGTCTTAATTCTGGATCCAGGTGAATAAGAGGTACCGTTATGTGAACAGTAGCACTCGTCTTCAATGACACATTTGCCAGCTTCGTTTTTGAACAGATTGTCGGGGCATATACAGCCCGGTCTGCATTCCTCATTATACTGTTGGAAAAACAAGTCAGTTAGTAAATTAAACAGAAGAGGAAAAAAAAAACACAGTTTGATTGAGATTATGCACTTTTAACTCTTTATTTAAATCTCTTTTAAATCCTATAGCTTTTTCTTTCTGTGTGTGTGTGTAGATATATATATATTCGAATCTATAGAATTTGATCTTTAAGTGGGAAACCTGAGTGAGTAGCCACTTTTGTCTGAAGTATCCCCAATTTTGTTGTTTATACCATGTCCAGAACCAGACTTATAGGCACTAGTTTTAACAACCAGGTTAGAATTTGGATCTGAATTGAGTAAATGTATTGTCTCTATCTTTCTGCCCCCACCCTCAACTCCAGACCTACTGCTGTCCTGACAGACTATCTGTCTGCCCCTACCCTCAACTCCAGACCCACTGCTGTCCTGACAGACTGTCTGTCGGACATCAAGTCCTGGATGAGGGCAAATTTTCTACAGTTGAATGTGAACAAGACTGAGGCCCTCCTGATTGACTCGCGCCAGCGCCTCCGCACCTCAGGCTGTGGCAGCATCAACCTCCATGGTTGCACATTTCAACTCACCAGTCAGTCAGGAACCTCGGTGTCTTGTTCGACCCTCAACTGTCTTTTCTCCCCCACATTCAAGCCATGACCCGCTCTGTCTTCCCTCACCTCCGTAACATCACCCGACTCCACCACTGCCTCAACCCTCAGGCGCTGAAACTCTTGTTCATGCTTTCTTCAACTCCAGGCTCGACTATGCAAACCCCCTGCTTGTCGGCCTTCCCAACTCCTCCCTCCACAGGCTGCAGATCCAGAACTCTGCAGCCCGTACCTCTCCCACACCAAACTCCGTGATCCCATCTCCCCCATTCTCGCCCGACTACATTGGCTCCCTATCCTTCAGAGGATCCAGTTCAAGATCCTGGTCCTCAGCTACAAAGCCCTCCATGGCCTCGCCCCACCCTACCTCTGCAACATCCTAACCCCCTACCAACCCGCCTATTCCCTCCGCTCAGTCGGCTCTGGCTGCTCTATGTCCCCCGACCCACCCACCCCACCATTGGCGGGAGAGCCTTCAGCCACTCTGCCCCAACCTCTGGAATTCCATCCCCCGATCACTTCGTCTCGCTCCTTCCTTAGCCTCCTTCAAGTCCCGCCTCAAGACCCTCCTTTTCGACCATGCCATCGGCGAGTGCCCTTCCCCTCCCTTCCCTTCTCCCACCCTTAACCGCAGCTCGGGTCTGAAATGCTGTACTCTGTCCAGTGCCTTGGGACGTTCTCCCGACGTGAAAGGCGCTATACAAATGTAATGTTGTTGTTGTCTGTTTACGCTTCCCATTATGCTCCTAGGACATGTGAGGCTCAAAGTGCTTTTGTGTTTAGCTTTAAATATAGCAACACCCGTGGGTAGAAATACAGCACTTTGAAAGTCACACTTGAGATAGTTAAGAAAAAATAAACACTCCATAGACCTGCAATAGTCAATTAAAGTGATTACTTTGTTTTTGGAAAGGGAAGAGCAACCTCAGAAAGTAGTTAGCCATCACCTCTCGTGCCCATTTTTATACCTAATCATTTTTAATTATTTGTTATAAAGGATACCTACACAATCCCTTTGAATGTTTCCGCAGGTCCTGGGACAATCTATCCCTGTTGTATCTGGTACAGCATTACAGTCACGATAGATCATTGGTGGAACGCAGTCTGCAATACATGGAATGCTTATAAAGTCAGCTCATGTATTTAGATAGAAATGTTTAAATTATCAAATAAATAGATATTCACACATAAATATATCTTAAATTTTCAGCACTTACGGAATCTACTCTTGAATATTGACATCGTAGAAGGGCAATGGATTTTCCCATTTTTACACTCACTGAAACAGATAAGTAGAAAGGGTGTCAATCATACAAATACTTTATTATTTGCCGTGCAGATTCAGTGTATGCTATATTAACTTACCATTTCATATTTTCTTGTAGAACTTTGTCCCCGGGTTTCAGGTAGGTGCCATGGTAGCGACATGGACACTCATGCGAAGACACGCATCTGTCATTTTTGTTCATGTATAGTCCCTCAGCGCAGCCACACCCATCCACAGGCACGTGATTAATTCCGCATGTAGGGTCCTTCTCGCTCAGAGAAAGACAGGTGCGCCCACAACTTTTCATATCATAACTGTAGGTAAGTGTCTCAGGGCAGGTGTTTGTGTAAGAATCTGGAAACAAACAGTATATAAATAAGAGGATTATTAGGAGACCATGGATGACTGCTTTTTCAAGCTAATGATTATTGCTAAATGTCAGGTGTAGATAGTTAGTCCTGTGTGAAAATATCTTGAAAATAGGAACACCACATTCTCACAATTGAAAGAAATCTTTTCTGATCTTAACCTGCACTATAAGATCATCCTTTTGGATCTGGTGAATTTGCTTCAAGGTTAATATTGTTAATATAGGTTAATAGGATGGAAGGACAAAACTGATCACAATATCCAAATGAAATACATAATCTATGCAATTGTACCTTTACTTCATCTTGGATTCACTTGTAGAGCAATTGGGGTGTGGACCTAATATTTATTTACCAAAAAGCCCTCAGGCTTCCTGCACTAAAACTGGCCAGCTTACAGGTCATTAGATTGCTGCACATGTGCTGGATGTTATGTCGGCAGTGACCTAATGACCAGTTAGTCATTTTTTAGCATGGGAGCTGGCTGGCTACATGTATGGGCAGTGAATATAGAAGTGCTGACTAGCAATTGCAACCTAATTACTAAGTATGTTATGATTTCATGGATTTTTTATTTGTTGAGATCAGCCAGGTGTTAAGAGAATCTGCAGGTTGGCAAGAGCCAAGGCTTGGGGACCCCAGAGTATGCGTCGGGGTAACTATTGGAATCTATCCAGCAAAAAACGCATAGCTTGCCTTTGAAATTGCAAGCTTTCCCGCTGCTTGTTCAGCTAGGACCATCCTACCCATGAACTCCAAGCAGGGTTAACAGGAGCTGAGTTGAATGACACCCTACCCTCAAAGACTGGTCTGCCCTTCTAGGTCCTGCCGATAAGCCAGGCTGGCTGTGCTGTCATCACCAGTGCCCTGGAATACTGCGCACCCGCCTGGCTCAGGAACCGGATGACCGAGACTGCCACTGAGGGCTGGCTCAATTCCGACATTCCATTGCCAGCCTGGAGTCAGTTCAGCTCCAAGGAGGCCCCACTTACCTCCTCCCCCATGGAGAATGGTCATTATTTGGTCATTTGACATCCAACCAGCGTGGGTTTGAGCCCTGACTAGGTGGATGATGGGTACAATAAACTCTCTGTGAGCTTTCCAGTGGGCCACGCATCTCAGCATTAAATTTCATAGACCCCAATTATTACATCTGTTTATCTCTTTTTTTCAATTCTTCAATCAACTTGGTATCTATTGCCTTCTGAGGAAGTTGCCCCGGTATTCCTACAACACTTTGTCTGGACTCCTATTTTACTAGTTTAGTTATAAGTTTAAAGTTTTGACCAATTGTTCATATTACCCACTAGATTACACTGCTAATTTCTGTAACTCACAACCTCTATCCTTCCAGCTGGCCCCCTCTTTATCTTTAAAACCTACCTCTTCAATGATGCCTATGATCACCTCCCACTCCTCCTCCTTTGCTTGGCATCCAACTCTGCCACTGACACATTATCCTATGTGAAGGGCACTTTCACTTTACAAAAAGAACCATTACTTTAAAACCATTACTTTATCATTATAGTAAAATATCCTGTATCCTGAAGCCAGCTATCCACAGGCTATGTAACTGGCTGTGATACACAAGTGAAGTGGAACTGCAATGTCAATAAAAAAATTATTTGTGTGCACAAGGTTACAAGATATCTCCACAATGCAACTGAGAACTGGCAACAAGAGTTAAGTGTCTCATTCAACAATTAAGATAAAGAGTGTGAGATAGAAAGTTGGTAGCAACGAGAGAAAGAGACTTTAAGGGTGAGAGAAAGGAAATCCAACAGAGGGAGAGAGATAGAGAGAGGCAGAAAAAGAGGAAGACAGAAGCAGGGAGAGAAAGTGAGAGGAAGACAACAACAACAATCACAAACAACAAATTACATTGTACAGTGCCTTTCACATTGGGAGAACGACCCATGGAGCTGGAAGTCAGGAATTTGGTCCCGAGCAGAGGGCTTGGATCAGGAAGGGTGGAGAGCAGGGAGGATAGGTGTAGGGGTGACCGAAAGCATAGTTGAAGGGAAGGGACTTGAGGCTTATCTTGAAGGAGACAAGGGAGCAGGCAAAGGGACTGGGATGGAGTTCTAAAGGGAGGGGGCACAAAGGCTGAAGAAAGGTCAATGGTGGGGCAGGCCGGGCCGGATGGGGGATGTGGAGCAGGCCGGAGCCTGCTGAACAGAGGGAGTGGACAGGTTGATATAGAATTAGCAGATCACAGAGGAAGGAAGGAGCAAGGCTGTGGAGGGCTTTGAAGGCAAGGACAAAGATTTTTAAATCTATCCTTTGGGGGATGGGGAGCCAGTGGAGCTGGGCGAAGGTGGGGATGATAGGGTCGTGGAGCTTGGTGATGGAGAGAACACGAGCTGCAGAATTCTGAGTGATCTGCAGCTTCTGGAGGGAAGAGTTGGGAAGGCTGACAAGCAGGTAGCTGGCATAGTCGAGCCTAGATGTAATGAATGCGTGGATGAGAAGCAGAGAGAGGAATGCAAAAGCAGAGAGAGAAATAGAAGATTCAGAATAATAATGTTAACAATCAGTCTGTTGAACTGAATCTGACTAGACAAGTGAATGGATTCAACGGTCAACAAGCACTGTGCTATGATCCTCCATATCAGAAACATCTCTCAGAACCCACCTCATGTAAACAGAAGCTACATACATGCTTACAGGTAAACCAGACACACAATGGAGCTTTACAATACAGCTTCTTCTGCCTTTATTGTGCAGAGAAGGTTAAACACATCAACAATTAACATCAATATTTATATATTTTTCTCTCTTTCACATTGTGAGGATGACTCAAAGCATTGACACAGTTAACAGTCACCTGTTGAAACATCAGTGCTAAAGAGTACATTCGACAACCCCTTTGCCCTTTGGCATCCCTGTATGTTTTCTACAAATCTTTCTACGCTCTAAGTAACTACTGGGATAAGAGCTGTGATCTTGTATCAATTGCCTCTGGTTCACCAAGTTGCTATGCTACCTGATGAATTAGAAATATTACTCACTGCAGATTTCTCCCTGCCAGCCAGTTAACACGATGCCTTTGCTTGCGCAAGCTCGAACATATGAGTAGAGGGCAGCACACATGCAGTCCTTGTTGTTCTCACAGTTGCAGGTGTCGTATGTACATTTCTTTAAAAAGAAGAAAAGGACAAACTAATTATCTTAGAGGTAAAGAATAAAAGAAAACATTTAATCAGTTGAGCCATTGGAGTGTGCGGGCAAAAGTCCTGACAGATGTATTCTTCTTCATTAATGGATCAGTTCTTCAGTCAACAACATTTTTTTTAGTCAGCCGGACACATGCAGAAACCCATCAGCTGCTTAAGATTATACAAATTGAGAGTTCCATTGCATCCTACCTACCTAAGACACATGGAAATTCCCGAAATATTTATTGGTCCTTCCTCTCTGACTGTGCCATCCTCCCACCTCCACCCACCTTGTCCTCCACCCCTCTTGACTCCAACCCTCAGCTCGGGTACAAACAGCTCGGGTAAAAGCACTGTCCACTGCCTTGGGATGTCCTCTCGACTGTGTAAATGCAATTTGTTGTTGTTGTTGGAATGCAGTGCGCACTCTCTCCCTGGAGGGATGCATTTGTTTATCTAATTTAGGAGAGTATGAGGCACAAGTTGGCAAAAAGCAAGGCTGGGGGACCCCAGAATGTGCATTGGGGTACTGCTGGAGTATCGCTTGGCATTGAATGTACTGTATGGCAAGCTTTCTGATACTTGTCCAGCTAGGACCATGCTACCCTTTAGGGCTTTGGGTTACAGGATTAATAGGAGCTGAAAGGAAAGAATCCCTGCTCTCAATAACTGGTCTACCCTTCCAAGTTGTGCTGATGAGCTTGGCTGGCTGTGCTGTCATCAAAAGCTTCCATCTATGTTTTGCATTCTTTCCTGCTCTGTGGTTCTTTTAGAGAAATTTCACCTGCTGATGACCATAATCAAGCATATCCCTCAAACAATTATTATTTTATACTCTTCAAAAATTGGGACCAGATGGTTCGTAATAGTCTTCTGATTCTGTCCATTCCTAACTAGGAAATACATTTTTTCTGTACCTCATAAAAAATTTTGCTGCACGAAAAGGCCATTGGCCCAAGCCTGTTCTGAGCATAAATATAGAAATAAAATACACAGGAGGTATTGCAGAAGTAGCGATATAGATTTACCTTAAAGTACTCATCTGGGTGAATGGTGGAATGGCACTCGGCAAAATTTCCATTTGGGTTTGTTAGGTGAGAACACATGAAATCAGCATATTGTTCTGGAAAAGAAGTTGTACCTGCATCAGTATATTCACTGGATTTTTTGGGTAAGCACAGCATTTCACAGTAAATGTATATAAATTTTGTGCACTTTTAGAAGCAAACATCATTCAAATCAGAACCCAAATCCTGTGTGATTCGGGCTATTTCCTGAATTTCACGGTATTTGGATTCAATTGATCAGCATCTGTGTAATTCTGTAGGATTCTGTTATAAATGTTATTTTCATATGCAATAACCTGAAATAGATAATTTAAAGTTTTAAACATAGTAATTGAGTCACAGTACAAATCTTCCATTAGGTTTATGTGAAGAATGGTCAGGAAATCCATTTCAAAAATTTAATATTCTGTTGAAATGTATCTTCAACTATTCAGCTCATTCTTTTATTTACCTCCCCTGAAATTCCCTTTAGCACTTACTGTTTTCGACACTGGAAGTGCAGGGGTCTTCCAGAAGATCAGATTTGTCTGGACATTTTGTTTGGGCTTTCCATGTGTTTGCAAAGGCCACAGCTGTTCCCTCAATCAAGCCATTGGCTGTCTTGTAATCATCGTACAGAACATCATTATAGTTCCCACACAAACCTAGGTCAACAAAACCGATCATTAAAATACTTCTTTGAAACATTTTTTAAAAAAGTCAAAAATGATAAATGAGAATGAGATAATGTGGAAATGCATGCCAGTGCAGTAGCTAGTAATAGGATAGTAACAATCATTGCATTTGATACAGCACGTTGGAGAGGACGTCCCAAAGCACTTCACAGGATTTACTATAAAATGTAGTGACTATATTTTGTAGGTGAATATGGCAGCCAATTTGCACACATCAATGCTCCGCAAACTGCCATGAGGTGAAAGACAAGATAGTCAAAAGAGTGTCAAGAAAATGAAACCAGTGTTTGCTACATATTTCTTTATATAAGGGATTTACTATTATACAAATTACATTTCCGTGGAGGTGATCAAATATGATGCCTACCGCATGTCTTATCCTTATGTGATTGGTCCAGTGTCATGTACACTTGCATCAGAGGAACCAGCTGGATCTGCAGCTGCAAACCAAATCGGGTCTCCAACAGGACGTGGAATGTTGATGGTCTAAAAATTGTGTAATTTGCTGGAAAAAGAAACAATCTCATTCAGTTTTTATATCCTTGTACGATATTTTTAGATTTGTTTCTACTTCTCATTTTCAGTTTTACCCCCAAATTGATTTTCTTGGGGATAGTTTGCTTCCCTCAACAAGCCTGATGCTCTCTTCTGTCACTGGACTAGGTTGGGTGTGCATTCCAACATCATGTGATTATTTTAAACATCATTGTGCCGCTTTGCATGTGACAGTATCTTGACAAGTGGCTTTTATGTGTACTTTGCACCAACAAAAATCCTTAGAATGTCCTGTTATGTCATGGACAATCCGTGATAAATCCTATTATATCAATGACTGGTTCCTACCTGTTACCAACGGCAACCTAACTTCTATTCCATCAACAAAAATGCTGCCATCAGCATAAATAACCAGCACCTGAAAATGAAAAAAAATCATTTTAAATGATTGAAGCTCATATTCTGAATGAAGAAGGAAATGCAGGCTTCCATTCCTTAGGCAATATTGGAGCTACTTACACTATGTTTATTTTCGCTTAACAACACCACTGAATTTAAGCAGGTTTCCGTCTCCATCCGTCCACACTGAATAATCTCCACTAGCACAGTGTACAGATGGGTTTTACAGTCCTGCCATTCAAAGAAACATGGAGAATTGTTATTCCATTCAGAGCTGTTCAGAACTGAAACTAATAGGAGCAATTATTTTTTACACGCCCGTGGTAAGCATTCTCAGCAAAAATAGTTAATTTATTTTTAAATAAAAGGTAGGTACATAACTGGTCAGGAATAGGCCTTGTCCCTCAGATAATAAGGCATTGAAGCCGGGGTGAGAAGACAGGCTCATGTCTTTGAAACAAAAACAGAAGTCTCTGGGAACACTCAGCAGGTCGGGAAGCATCAATGTTTTGGGTTGACTCACCCAACCCTCCATAGATGCTGCCTGTCCTGCAGAGTGTTCCCAGCGACTTCTGTTTTTGTTTCAGATTTCCAGCATCTACATAATTTTGGGTTTCATGTCTTTTATGTTTATATTGTGAAATGCTGCAGAGCTCCCATAATCAGACCCAAACACAAATGCTTTGATATATCATTAAACATGCAACAACAGATGTAACTATTGTAGAAAGAAGATAAAAGACTTTCTTACCTTGGAGAGAGTGTAAAAACAGGCACCATGAAATGTGTATTTCATGCCGTCAAAGGTTGAGAAATGTGCGCCCCCCTCCAATGAGCAAACTCCGGGACAAGGAAGATTTTTGCACAGCCATTTACCTCCATTGCAAACACTTTAATCATATGAACAGATCAACAAGTTAGTTAATGCCAGGACTGCAGGAACAGCTAATAATGCAAGGTGCAGTAGTGTTTATTAAATCAAAGTTAATGTGGATCCTACCATTCCTCACATTCCGATGAGACCAGGGAACCTGGATTGTAATGCTTTCCTTTCATTGTACATTTGCACTCATGCACTGGGATACACCCACTTTTAGAATAATCATCAAACACCGTTCCTGAAATAATAAAATACGTGTGTTGTTAGTGGTTGGGAGTTATTTTTTTATGGGAATTTTATTGTGAATTATTTGTTCTCAAGACAAGCCATGTTCATGCTGGTAATTGGAATACATTTGACAGTGTTTCATCTATAATGACTATCAAGGCAGAAATAAGTTAAGATAAACCTCCATCCGCTCTAACCCGATAGTGTGAACAAAAAAACAGTCTCAGTTGAGCGCTCGACTTGTATTAATATGATACCAGGAATCCTATGGCTTATCTGAATGAGATTATCCAATAGTAGTGGACCGTGTGTTATAAATGTCCAAAATCACTTCATAAAGAACCTTCACAGTTGTGGCTGAGGTCAGGACGCTGGATTCATTTCAAAAGCAGATCCATGCTTAATGGAAGTAAAGTTGGGTGGGTATTCTAGAAGGATGGAATCAAATTGACCGAAGGGCCTTCTTCATCCAAACATCTCTTGTGGTCTTGTGAAACCCCCTGGTTAGCTTTGCTTTGTGTTGAATAATAAATGTTTTGCTGTTGTTTGAAAGCACTCTGACACCATTGGAAATGCATACCTGGGGGGCAGAAGCAGCCATCCACATGGTGATCCTCACACAAGCTACTGGTGTCAAGATGAGAACAGGTGTCCATACAAGGAGAGCCACTTTCCTTGTGGATCATATTGTAAGGACATTCCATATCTGTGAAACAAACATACATATTGTTATACAGATATATTTGATATATTCTGCAGTAATTTCTTAAAGACATATATAAACATTAAATCAAAAAGCCAAAATCTGAAACTTGAAAAGCAACTAATAAACACTTAAGAGTTCTTATCTTATGTTATTTAAGTTAAGTTATTTAAGGTCTCAGCTTGGCTCAGTTGGTGGCACTCTTGCCTCTGAGTCAGGTTGTCGGTTCAAGCCCCAAATTGGGACTCTTATAGGTTTATTTAAAAACAAACCCATATATATTTAACATTTCTGAGAAAGTCTCTTGCCGTTAGAAAGCTAAGTACTATATTCTACCAAAATATTTAGTTAAAGAAGTTTTAGTTAAAAACACACAGCTTCTCTGAATCAATTCTTTGGCATTATACATACGGCAAAATTTCTCCGTCCTCCAATTCTCTGGTTTTCCTCCAGCATGGGCACACTGTCTAGAATATTCAGAGACTGTGCTGCATAGACAGAATCCGTCTAGGACATTATTGCAGCTGCACATATCCAGCATGCAAGCTTGAATGTAGCGTTGGGTGTTTAAGCGGGACTTGCAACTTGCAAACACTTTTCTGGAGAGAAGTTTTTCACAGGACTCTCTCTACAAAACAAAAATATAATACAGAGAATTTTTTTCCTGAAAAACACAACTGTATCTTATCAGGAGACCTTTTGCAAAATACTGTATTCTTTGAGACATTCAAAGGCTATTTATTTGTTACATTTGCAACAGTTGTCCCTTGCCCATGTCTCCTGAAGACACTACCTCCTGCTGGATATAGTTCTGTTGCTATCAATAAAACTCAAATAACTCAATCAATTAACTTTCTCATTAATAAACTGGATGTTGGATGCCAGCAGACTATTAGATTATAGGAGGAGACATAGCTTTAGTCTGATCTGTTCTCATCCAATGTCTAGCTACGTCTTCTTTTCACCATGAATAAGCCTGGACCACCTGAGCATGCACTTTGTGTTCTCTAATATCTTGGCATTTTCCAACCCGACCTGTATTCTCTTAGTATAGGTACTCAGTGTTTCCCCAGGATGTGGTCATTTTGAACTGTGAAATAAGATGGTTTCAATGGTTTCCCTACAACTGGAAATGGGGATTCTTCAACAAGAAAAAGAGTTCAATTTGCTACCCTCTCGTAAATATGCCGGCCAGTTTTGCTCTTTCCTTTACTCTTATTCCCTTTATGAGCCTTTCCAATCTGGTCCAAACATTTTTATAAATGATCTGGAACTAGGAGTCGCAAGCACAGTGGCTAAGTTTGCAGATGACACAGAGCTAATGAAGGTGGTAGATCGAGAAGCTAACCAAGATAGGTTACAGGAGGATTTGAACATACTTGGGAATTGGGCAGATCGGTGGCAGATGAAATTCAATGTGGAGAAACGTAAAGTACTTCAAATGGGGACAAAAAATTATGGAAGGGCACATGATTGCTGTCTTTTAAGATTCTTAAGGGACTGAATATATAATATATATAAGGGACTAGACAATATAAATCATGACAGGCTGTTTAACTTGTCCAGAATAGTAAAACCAGAGGACATGGCCTGCAATTGAAGGGGCGTAAATTCCGACCAAATCTACCAAAAACTATTTCAGTGAGCGAATAGTGAACCTGTGGAACAACCTCTCTAGGGAGACGGTTGAAGCAGCAGGTGTCGATTCTATCAAACACAAATTAGATAGTTTTCTCTTAGGAAATAACATTATGGGATATAGTACACAGGTAGTTCGGGACATATATGCAAGCGACCCCCAGGAAGGTGGAAGGTGCACTAGATGGACCTTGGTCTTTTTCTGTCTAGCATTTCTTGTGTTCTTGTGGTTCCTGCCCATTCCACAGCCCTGGTCAAAGTACAAATAAATAAATAATCTGTAACCAGGGCTCTCTCTTTCGTTGCCTTTGACACTGCCGACCACTCTTTTCCACTTCTTCTCAATGTTGTGAATTTAAGGTGTAGTGTAGAAAAAAGCGTTTCTGTTGTGACAAATTGCCTGTCAGATATGAAGTCCTGGTTGAGCTCTAACTTTTTTTCAGTCACATGAGGTAGAGAGGAACAGAAAGGTATGGGTGGGAGTAAGGAATGGGTGAAGATTCGTGTGGAGTATCAGCACCGGAATGACTGGTTGGATCGAGTGGCCTGTTTCTGTGCTCTACATTATTTTAAATTTTGTAAGTAATGACTTACGTATTGTTCACAAAAAGCATTGTCTTCCTCTGGTGTGTCCTCTACATCTTTACATATCCGATTGGGCTGATGGACTTGTTGTAGGTTTCCAAAGTCATTGGCTGTAGATTGTAGCCCTGTAATTTATGAAAATATTGTTGTAAAAGATATAAATACTCTTAGGTTGAAAAGTTTAGTTGCGGGAAGGTTAAAAACCCAGGTAATTCTAGACTTGCCATCTGGAATTCCATTGTAGTCACCACAGAGCCCATAGGTCCGGTTGTGAAACTTCTCATCGAGCTCAACCTAAAGTGATTGAAGAACAAAGGGAGAGGTTAGGAGAATGCTTTTTGCTCAGAAGTTTGTTGGGACATGCAATATCTTACCAAAAACTATAGTAAAAGACAAATCCGTAATAACTTTAAAAAGAGAATTAGACAAATATCTGAAAAGTATAAATGATTGTGGGGAAAAGATGAGGGAGTGGAAGCAAAGGGAGCCAGCATGGGCATGGTGGGCTGAACTTCCTTCTGTGCTGAAATTATATATATTGTAAGTTCAATGAATATAGAAAACAACAAAAGCTGTATATATTGTAAATATATTCTTACACAGTGAAGCAGTAATATTAGAACTTAAGGTTTGATTGGTCACTCAGTTCATGGCTATTTGTGGGAGGTTGCTGCGTCAAATTGTCTGCCGCACTCGCCCACAAAATATTCAGTCACTTAGTATATTCTGTGAAGTAATTTGTGACGTCTCAACAAAGTGATAAGGAGCTATGTCAAATGCAAGTATTAAGATTATTATATAACAGGATTCAGACACTGCCAAGTAACTCTATATAGGTTAATTTGATGATATAGCATAACTATCAGTATTTATGACCTGAGTCCAACCGCTCCACCCTAGCTCAATCGACAAATCTTCCAAAATATGATTATTATTTACAGCTTTCTAATGTCGGTACCTACCATGAGAGCATCTGCTTCATTCCATATCAGCATGAATCCAGGTTTACCATAGAGTTTAGTGTACTGACTGTTTCTTTCTATGTATAGACCAGGTGCATAGTAAGGTAGTGAAACTCTGAAAAGAAACAAAAGGATTAAGAGCAGGGCCAGAAAGGACAATGCCATCCCACCTAGCTGCTCCTCACCACAGTAATGGGCAGTATTGTTTCTCTCATGCCCCTTAATCGCTTTTCTGCCAAATGTATAACCGGCTCTCTCTTGACTTTGCCAACACAGTCCACATTCACTATTTTCCTGCTTAATGAATCTGTGTAGTCAACTAGTAGGTTATACAACAACAACAGATTGGATTTATATAGCGCCTTTCACGTCAGGATTATGTCCCAAGGTGCTAGACAGTCAAGAGCTTGCACCTGAGCTGGGGTTTGGAATCAAGGGGTGGTGGCCAAGGGGGTTGGAGTTGAGAGGAAAACCGAATGTACAGTCAAAGAGGAAGGTCTTAAGATGGGCCTTGAAGGAGGCAAGGGAGAAGGCAAGGCAAAGGGAGTACCAGAGAGTGGTGGCAGATAGGCTGAAGGCAGGGCGGAGGACATGAGGCAGGCCAGTGACACCAAGTGGAGGGACCTAGGTCCAAGGTAAAACATTCTTCATAATGTTGCAACGATCTGTAGAAAATCATTGATTAAGGGGCTAATTAAATTGTGTTGACAATTCTGTAGAAGCTCAGTTATCTAAAATCCAATTGGCCGCATGTTCCTTTTCCACATCGGGCTCCATTGGGGAAGACACACAGGACTGCTAGATGCCAGTAAAAAATTCCAGCATGGGATACCCAGTATGGGGATAGAGTGGGCAGTGGGATTGAATGGACTTGCTCTGAAAGAGGATTTGATGGGCTGAATGGTCTCCTTGTTGTAAATTTCTGTGATTCTATAATGCACATTCTGGGTCTTGCCAATTGGCACCTAATACTCTGGATTTAGGTAAGCAATTATCTGCATTGTTTGCTTATCCACCGTGGGACCAATCCCAATTAATATGGATAATCAGCTCTTTAATTGATTAAGCAGGCACATTACACTCTGTTTTATTTCAGATATCTCTTTATATGATAAGTAGCAATTTTGAAATTACTTTTCAAACAAACTGAAAGACCTAACCGCCCTCCATTATCCAAGTACTGCTGTTGACCATATGATACACATACACTTTAAGAGCTTAATTTTCTGCTTTTATCGAAAAGCCCTTAAATAACTTGTTCCATCAACAGTTCTCTCAGAAAGAGCTTTCCTTCTAGGTCAGATACATCATAGGGTAAAAGTATGAAATAAAACTGTTTACACTGTTCTGCCCAGGACCCAAATGCCAGATATAGAATGGATTAGATAAAAACCAAGCATGGCTCATAAATCACTTTCAGGTCAGATACAGCAGTTACAACAGATTGGATGGCTATAAGAGATTATTTTGCGCTGTCTCAGGTGCAAAGTAGATATGGGTGTATTGCAGAAAGACCACAGTGGCCTTGCCTTTCTTAATGCTGCAGGACAGCAATGGCAGTCATAAATTATTATTTGAATAGTGAACGCTGCAAATTATTCTGCTCTCTGGACAATCTTGTGGGATGAGCACTATGTGACTCCATTTGGTAAGTTTCACAATTTTTCTTATAATTAAATTGTTCTTATAAATAACCTTGATTCAATTTTAAATTATAAATTATAAATAATATGACTAAAGATACAAAATTAAATCATTGTTTTCAAATTTCACACACAAAGAACTACAGTAAACCAACTTCAAATCAAAGATTGACTTCAACAATTTGCCAGATTGCATCCTAGGAAAAAGAAGGAAATCTGACTCGAATTTCTCTCCCAATATAATGCAATACAAAATTATATTTGTGTTGCTCCTTTCATGTCGGGAGGACATCCCAAGATGCACGAATAAGGCATATCTGCTGCGGGAAATAGCATTAAATCATAATACAACATGCCTAATATTGCTATTCACTATACTGTAACATCTACAGTTAAAAATCATTTGCTGTCCCACTTACATCTTTTCGTTGACAACCACAAATTGGGGCCGCAGCTTAATTTCAGAATCCTTGATTGTTGCTGTGATGTGATCTATCATCAAGTGGCCATCTTTGAGTTTGCGACTGATGTGCACAGAGAATTCTTTCAGAATATGATGAGTGTCAGAAACAAAATTATAATCACAGGTTCCAGGAAACTGGTAAATGTCCCCATCGAAGGTCTTAAAGTGGTTGTTTCCCCAGGTACTGCAGACATTATTGCTATGGTCTTGGCGTTTGGCTGCAAGAAGGAAAAGCAAACGTTTTATTAATCAGCAACAGCATTCAACTCAGTATAGAAAGAAACAAAGTAAAACTGCTTTCTAAAGGTTAAACAATGTTTCATTTTTTTCTATAAATATATATATATATTGATTGATATGTATATAAATCAGTCATATTAAAGCAATTATTTATAAGCCCTTTCTGACTGAAGGAAATATCTGTACATTGATCATTATTGCAGCAATTTATCCCTATTTAACTTACTCGTTTTGATCTCCATGCAAAATGAACAGCATATAGCCCAACTGAGCATCCATATTGTTATTTGATGTGGCCTCATGCTAGCCTGACTGGAAAGCGTTTGAATAAGGTAACTCTGTAAGATCACATCTTTTATATGATTTGCTGAGAGCCATAAAAGTTATAATATGAGGTGTGGTTTCATGGGGGCTAATTCTTACTCTGGTCAATGTACACATAGGATGGCTCCAGACACAGTGAAAGCTAATGAGCTATTGGTAAATTGACTCAATGACTCTGAACCATTGGTTTGTCACGTCAGTACGTGCCGATGCCATGAGTTCATGTTGCCATATTCTTGTTTTAGCTATGCAACGCCATGAATCAGGCCACCATTCATAAACTGCTGTGTAATCTACCTGTGGAATGCTGCCTACCTATATAATACTGTGTAATGTTGTCACATAGTCTGCCCATGTAATCCTGTCACGTAGTTCTCCCGGAGTCCTGTAGCTCAGTGATTTGAGCACTCGCTTTGCAAGTGAGAGACCTGAGTTCAATTCCAGGCAGAGGGCGAAACCTTGGGCAAGTTTCCTTACTCCACACAGAGCCTAATAATAATCCCTCCAAAACCAAAAACAATAATAAATTGGTCATTTTCAATCTACGACTGTTTGTGGGACATTGCTGTGCGCAATTGGCTGCTGCGTTCGCCCACAAATATAGTCAATTCACTTTACAGTGTGTTCTGTGAAGCGCTTTGGGATGTCCTCCCGACGTGAAAAGCGCTATATCAAATGCAAGGATTATTATTATTATTATGTAGTGCTGGCTAGAACAACAATAAATTGCATTTATGTAGTGTCTTTCACGTCGGGAGAACGTCTAAAGGAAAAAAAGACAAAAATATTGCAAAGGCTGATAACAATCATGCTATGGAACAGAAGGTTTTGGGGATGTTATTGAAATCTTTAGGGGTAAAATAAATGAAATCCTAATATTTCTGCAACAAGGGTGCATGTAGCTCAGTGGTTGGAGCGCTCGCTTTGCAAGCGAGAGATCTGGGTTCGATTCCTGGCAGGATGAAACCTTGGGCAAGTTTCCTTACTCCACACGCCTGATAATAATCCCTCAAAAAAAACAATAATAAATTGGTCACTTCAATCCACGACTGTTTGGGGGATACTGCTGTGCGAAATAGCTGCCACGTTTCACCCACAAATATATACAGTCAATTCACTTTACAGTCTATTCTGTGAAGCGCGTTGAGACGTCTAGAAGACGTGAAAAGCGCTATATCAAATGTCAGGATTATTATTATTATTATTATGGACATTGGGACTTGTTTCAGCCCATGCTCCCTGAATTCTCTTATTACTCTTCATTACTCTCAGAAGGGACAAGTGGAAACAACGCTTTTTTCCGCTTGAAGAGAAAAGACAAAATTGCGAGTTGTTGTTAGATGGTAGTTGTTGTTGTTGGATGGTGTAGTAACTGTTCAGAATAGCACTGGCTGTCAGATGTGACCAAAGAGAAATATGAGAGATATAAAAATAATATGCTATTAAATGTTATTGTAATTTGTAATTATTTGTGATTTTCTTCCATCAATACCATGTTAAGAAACTCCCTTCACACTTTCCCATTAAATAATCCTAGGTTCATGGAACATGGATTAGGGACAGAGGAAAGCCCTCTCAGCACTGCCCAGCAAATTGTATGAAATATTTGCTTATTTTTGTGTCTCCCCAGAATTAGACTATAATTTTTGCCCATTAAGAGACAAAAATAATATGCTATATAAAGATGATAGTATTGTTTAGGAAACCTTAGGAACTGACTTCAGGCTGCCCCAAACTGAGTACAATTACCCTATCAATTTTTATTTTAGCACGTTAACAAGACAAACACAAAAAGTCAAGCATGTGGAGGAGGGCACTCCCAGGGCTCTGCATGCTCACCAGCTGCTGTGTATTAAAATCTTTTTACATCAGGGATCTTATCTCTAAGACACATATCGTCATCACTGTCCAGTTAACATCCTGGAGCACACGCAAACCAGTATTAGTCTTTGCTGAAACATTAAAACAAATATTGGAAAACAATACAGTTTTGAAAAGTGAATAAATGTGAGTCAGTAACATGTAATAAAACAGCATTGAGATATTACTTTGAATGCAGAGATTATGAAGGCTACTCAGGATGGTGAGAGTCACTTCAGGATAGTTTGAAAGGTAACCTTTAGAAACACATTGTACTGTCTGTGTTAATCGTATTCCTGCTCACATCATTCAGATGGTTTTGCAATTCTTGCTTGTGTTGAAATGTTGACAGTTGTACTCCCATTCCCAGTCCAGAAAGCTTTACATACATCCTGTTCAAGACCTTTTCAGTAACATTCAGGGAGGGTCGGGATGCATGCGTGGGAATGATGTTGGAGGATAGGGGGTGGGTGGAGGGAAGCAGGTGAAGGGAAGGGGTCGGAGGGGTTGGAGTGTAAGAAGTGGGGGGATGGGCGGTGGAGGGTGGGAATATGGTTAGGATGTGTGGTTAGAGGGTAGTGAGGGTGGGGGGAGAGTGGAGAGGGGAGTGTGGCCTAAAGCAAGATTAGCCAGTTTCAGAGTAACTACCAGCTAGGAATTTGCAAATGACTCGTATGAATAAATTACATTGTAGTTGTATTCATCTGAATTAATTTTACAAGAGAACATTTCTAAACTCACCTGTCATTATGGACCATTTATTTTTATTACATTTATATTACACATCATTATGTTAACATTTATTGCCTGGTGCAAACAATGTTATTTTATAAGTGAATGATAAAGTCAAGTGTTTTTATTTGCCTGGTTTATTGCCTACTCCTAATCCGGGTTGTTTGCAGTAAAAGCACTCCCAAACAGAGCAAATTGCTCTCTGTACCTCAATGCCACGGTACTCATACGTGGGAGAGGAAGGAAAGGAGGGAGTCATTCAGTTATCATTACGTTTTAAGTAGTGTGTGTGTGTGTGTGACAGCATCTGTGGAATGTCGCTTGCTTTCCTACTGCTGGGAGTGACGTTGAGACATAACTGGGACTGGTTGGCACTTTCAGCTACTTTCTCCTTTCCCTTTTAGGTAAATAAAAAGGAAAGATTGTAGGTATAGTTTGTGGTGACTTAGTTTGGTCTGTTCTGTAAACATTGAATTTTAATTTCTTATGTTCTCCTTTGTCATCCTATACTTTCCTTGTAATTGACTGGGAGATCAGTCCCATCACCCTTTTCTAGTTGTGGATACTCTCTGTATGAAGGGCACTGTATAAATGCAATTTGTTGTTGTTGGTGCTCAACTTAGGGTCAGGTTCAATCCCCAGCTATCCTTTCTACCCCACACCCAGTCCCTGGCCAGGACCACTTTCCTCACCTCCACCACATTGCCTGCCTCCGTCTGTACCTCACTCCAAAAGCTGCCGAAACCCTCGTCCATGCCTCGACTACTCAAACGCCCTCTTCGCTGGTCAGAGAATACAGTTCAAGAACCTGGTCCTCACCTTCAAAGCCCTCCATGGCCCTGCTCCTCCCTACCTCTGTGACCTCCTAACCCGCTACCAACTTGTCTGTTCCCTCTGCTCAGCGGGCTCTGGCCTGCTTCACATCCCCTGCCTAGCCAGCCCCAACACTGGCGGTTGAGCCTTCAGCTCCTCTACCCTCACCATCTGCAATTTCATCCCACGGTCCCTCAGCCTCACCCCCCTCCCTACTCTTCTCTTCGACCGAGCCTTTGGTCACCCTCTTTCCCCTACGCTTCCCATCCTACACCCTTCCTGATCCCAACCACCAGCTCAGTTGCGGAGCCCTAACTGTCCAGAGCTTTGGACAGTCTCTCCTGACATGAAACGTGCTATACAATGTAATTTGTTGTTGTTCTTAGTCTCCTCTGCTCCACTATTGAAAGTTCAACTAAGTCAAAACTACGCCATCCACATTCTTATCCGCACTAAACTCCGTACCTCCATTAACCCAGTCCTTGCCAAACTCCATTAGCTTCCTGTCACAGAGCGAATCGCTTTCAAGATCCTCACTCTTGTATTTAAATCCCTTTACGCCCTGCCCCCACCAACCCCCCCACCACACCCCAATTTCTCCAACCTGCTCTCTCCATACACCGCTATCTGCTGCCTCCGCTTGACTGGCTCCAACCTTCCCGGACCTTCCGCCCCACCATCGGCGGCCATGCCTTCAGCCACTACACTCTGAAGCTATGGAACTCTCTTCCTCAATCTCTTTGCCCTGCCCGCTCTCCCCATTTTCAGGTCGCGTTTGAAGACCTTCGTCATCGACCGTACCTACAGTTACCTTTCCCCTCCTCCTGACTCAGCATCGGGCTCTGCCACTGTGAAGCGCTCTGAGACGCTGTATGGTGTGAAGAGCACTATATAAATGCAAGTTGGTGGTTTTGAGTTGACTGTTAGGATATGATCTCCAGCAAAGCTTAGGGTGTGGAGCAGAAACACAAATTTGTAACCGAGATCTGAATTCACAGGTGGACAATTGCCATTTTAGGTCATGTACTTCACACCACTCACTCTAATATACTTCGCTGTGCTCACTGTGATATGCTTACTACACCAGTCACTATGATATGCTTTGATATATTATAGTACAACAATGCGTTCTGGAGTAAGAGTACATCAGACTTAGGTAGGGGGGAGCTTTGTGATTGGAATAGTGTTAAGCGGAGTGTTTTGGGGTGGTCAATTTAAATGGTTGCTCTATTTGTGCTTCACGTCACTGACAATATACACCCACAGGAGTGGAGTGATGGTGGGTCATTTTAAAGTTAATCCTATAAACATCTGGATTATTGACCTCAGTGCCACAAGGTTACAATTGTGTCAAATAGCAGCAATGAAAATAATTGCTGACTTTTATGTTTGTAATTGACTGACTCTGACCTATGGTCCTTGGTAGTTAGACATTCGATGTTAGTCAGTGGAAGTCACTTTTCAGTTATTGAATGCCTCAACCTAAAGACCCTGTCTATCTATAGTCTCACATGACCTGCAAACATGTCTCCACCTCACATCACATTTCTCATTTTAAGGTCTCCAGATCACTGTTGCGCATCTGAGATCTAGTAGATTTAGCCCACCTGGACAGTTGAATTATAACCTTAACTCCTACTAGACGATCCCTACTAAAGCAGGGGGTTACTCATTGATTGCTGAGGGAGGGAGGATACAAATTATTATACTTGTAGGGAAACAACCGTAATTTAAGAGTTCAAATATCAAATGCCGTATTTGTATTCACCCGGATGCAATATATCCTGTTTCTCATCAGCAATCTGGCCTCTGCGTGCCTGCTGTCACGTCTGACTCACTTTAAGCTGCTCTTTAATGATAAGAGCTTCAGAATGTTAGCTTGAAATTAGTCAGCAAGGCAAAGAATAATGAGGGAGACAATGAAATGATTAATCCGGACAAGGTAAAAAAAAATCACCAGTTGTCAGCCAAACTTAAATCAGCCAGTTTCAATGTTTGAAGCGCTCTGGGATCCTACCCTGCGTGAGGGGTGCTATAAAAATATAAGTTGTTGAAGATGGGTTCCAAGACTTCTGATAATGGTAACTTTAATTCTTGCAATGAATTCAGATTCAGATTTCCCCTGATCAGGGAGGCAGATATCAAATAATCTTCACCGCTGGGTGTAACACTTGGCATTCTCAAGAAATCAGAAATTTCACCAAGTCCATTTTGTTTACATTTTTTGCGATTGAGCAGGTTCTATAAAATTCTTCGATTCAGTCTTGCTCTGGAAGATAGTTTTTTTGAAATGTGGGAAAACTGGCTCCCAAATTATTACCGAATTCAAGAATTCAAGAATTTTCTACGATTCTTCACAATCTTAAAATTTGGAATTGGAAGGAATAGTTGAGGTCATGATCTAATTAAATGGTGGAACAGGCTTGAAGGGCTGAATGGCCTTCTGTTCCTATGTTCTTTAAGACAAAATAGTCATATTGGCCAAAACTCTGTGGAATTTCAGGCTGTGGTGGAAGAAATACCCTGTGATAGGCAAACAACTCGAGACATTATAGGGATTGGAATAACAGACTAGGGGATCTGTGGGTAGTAGAAGCCCAAGCAGAGATATTTAAAGTAATTAGTAACAAAAAAATTAGACTGATTAGGAGGCTGCCAGAGGCCCAGACAAAATTGTGAGCCCTGACTACAAACAAAAACTCTTATTTGTGCGGTGTGGTGTGTAGGTAACCAAGGATTGTGTTGATTTATCAAAACGGTATCTCCTATCCACACAAGGAATGATAAGAGTAGCAGGAATGTATTTATCTCACCAAGGGTCTTTCAGCTGTTAACATCCAACACCTTGGGCTGGTTTTGTAGTTAAGTTGTTTCACATTCCCATAAAAAATTACAGATCCTGATGAAGGGTCACACCCTAAATACTAACCTGCCTTTCCTTTCAGATGTTGAATGATCTGTTACGCATTTCTGGCTTTATTTTGGATCTTGTGCATTCTCTGGGTTTTACCTCTTTATCCTTTTTTTATTTGTTGTGGTTTTGTACCTGCCAGAGTATCTGCCAGTTCGTGCTGTTCACTAACTGCTCGGGCGTATAGGTGCCATTCACTTTGGGTTAAGATTGACAAGTGACATGAATTGGATCCTGTGAAGCGCTAGCTGAAATAGTTCAGCATTGATGTTTGTAAACCCCAGCCATCTGATGGTTGCTGACAATAAATGACATTTATTGTTTGTCTTCCTCTTCCTACAGTTGATATCTTTCAAAAGATTTGGCCCTTGAATATTTGGAAAATAACTTGCCAATGCTTGAGTACAACCCAAAAACCACAAATGTGTCAATAATCAGCCAGAATGTAATATCTATCCAGCAACGTCTTTGCAGAGACGATGCATTGTTCACAAGCATCAGCTCGCTCTCCAGGCACAGCCTCCACAATGTGCCAACTGGACACCAGTGACTCCTCTCTGAGATTATGGTTGCTGTACCCCATTTTTTCTGATTGTCAGGCCAGCATCACTGCTCACAATGTTGGCACTATCTTCTCCAAACTCTTTGTTATCTAGAAGGATGTCAGCAGGCTTTCTGGAACTATTTTTGGAACTCAGCAAAAACAACTTGAATTTATATAGCATCCTCCATGTAGGATAACATCTTGAAGCACTTCACAAAGACGGGGTTGGGGGCTGAACAGAGAGGGGGGAGAGGTGGTGACCATAGGTTGGGGTGAAGAGTCTTTAGGTAAGATTTAAAAATGGATAGAGACGGAGCAAGTTGGAGGGGTAAAGAAACAGAGATCCTGAGGCTAGGGGTAGAGTTGCTGAAGGCTTGGCCACTGAAGGGGAGTTGCGGGGATGGGCAGGTCCAAGTTAGCAAAGCTGAAAGGGCAGCAGGCAGCAGACACGCAGCAGGCCCAAGTTAGCAAAGCTGAAAGGGCAAAAAGAAGAATGGAGTAGGAGGCGATCAGAAGGTAGGGAGGGAAGACGGCACAAAGGGGTTTGAAGTTGATCTGTTGGGAGCTACTGGAATAATGGGCATGTGGAGTTCAATGTGGATGAGGATGCAATCAGGATTGGAGGAGCCGAAGCAGGGAATGGAGGTAAGGGTGGGAGTGAAGTTGACTGGCAACAAGTTTGTAGTTTCAATCCATGTTGGGACCTTGGACTCATATAATCTAGGCCTATATTCCATTGTTCCAATGTGAGTGTTCTACATTGTTGGAAATGCCATCCTTTGGCTGAGATGTTAAAACAAAGTAAGTGTTTGCCTACAAATACACAGTCACTACACTTTACAGTATATGCTGCGATGCACTTTAAAATGTCCTCCTGAATTAAAAGGCACTATATCATATGCAAACAATATTATTATTTGAGGTGGTGAAGAAACTTTGCTCTGTGCAAATTACTGCCCCTCTCTACTTTCAAATGACATTCTGTCTATCTGAGACCAGGGCTCCCTCTGCCTCCTCATCCTCCTTGAGCTCTCTGCTGCCTTTGACACTGTCAACCACTCTATCCTCCTCCACCGCCTCTCCTCTCACCTAAACCTTCCCAGCTCTGTCCTTGACTGGTTCAGATCGTACCTCTCATACCACCTCCACTTCATCTCCACAAACAGCTTCTCCTCTAGCCCCCACACCGTCTCATGCAGTGTTCCTGAGAGCTAACTTTCTTCAGTTGAACGGCAACAAGATCGAGGCTCTCCTGATTGTCTCCCGTCAGCGCCTTCTCACCTCAGGCGCTGACAGCATCACCATCCATGGTTGCACACTCCACCTTACTAAGCCAGTCCGGAACCTTGGTGTCTTGTTTGACACTCAACTGTTCTTTCTACTGCATATCTGTGCCATGACCCGCTCTGCATTCCCCATCTCTGCAACATCGCCCGGCTCTGCCACTGTCTCACATCGCAGGCTGCTGAAACCCTCATATGCGCTTTCATTATATCGAGGCTTGATTATGCAAACTCTTCGCTTGTCGGTCTCTCCAACTTCTCCCTCCATCCAGAACTCTGCAGCCCGTGTCCTCTCCCGCACCAGGCTCTGTGACCCTATCGCCCCCATCCTCGCTGGACTCCACTGGCTTCCCATCACACAAAGAATACAGTTCAAGATCCTGGTCCTCACCATCAAAGCCCTCCATAGTCTTGCTCCCCTCTTCCTCTGCGAACTCCTAACCCCCTACCATCCTGCTCGCTCACTTTGCTCAGCGGGCTCCGGCCTGCTTCGCGTCCCCCATTTCGCTCGCCCTAGCATTTGCGGGCGGGTCTTCTGCCACTCTGCCCCTACCCTCTGGAACTCCATCACCCTGTCCCTCCATCTCGCCCCCTCCCTTGCCTCCTTCAAGACCCATCGTAAAACACTCCTTTTCAACCATGCTTTTGATCACCCTGTTTCCCCCGCTGACCTCCACCTTCCCCGATCCTCATCTTGGGTCCGAAACTCTGTCAGTCCAGCACCTTGGGACATCCTCCCAACATGAAAGGTGCTATACAAATGTAATTTTGTTATTATTGTTGCTTCAATAGCCTTCTAAAACATGTCTCCACTCCCTCCAACTGCTCCCCATGATCTCCCACCACTATTCTCAATCGAATCCTATGGAAGTAACACATCGCACTTCATGGTCTACTGCCAGCTGACCAAGCATAAAGTACAGTGGCCATGTTACATTTAGCTGAAGCTAAATTCAATATAAAATGATATGAACCCAATGTGTTTCAATCCATGTGGTACAGAGAAATCAATGACATATTTAACCAACACATTTTTATTAAGTGGTGCTCATATTCTGTGGTGCAATGTGTGATGCAGACAAATATTGTACTTTTACAAAATGGTTCGGGATCAGTAAAGAGTTGGAACTGCATCACGCACCCTTCAAAATCATCTCATCGGCACTCCTGAAGATGGAGCTTTGCTAAGGTCCTATTGGCAATAAGGGCATTTCCCATTGTGGAATGAATTGATACAGAAAGGCTCCAGGTTTGATCACGTGTCTGTGCTGATCTCATCTGGCCTCAGAGCCTCTACGCTAGGAAAGGAAAAAGAAAAGAAAAAACAGGAATCGGCAGTTAATGTTCAAGAAGATTCTGGCACCTAAACATTAACTGCCGATTCCTGAACAGAAAGTGAACATTTGTGACTATTGGATAAGGACAATATTGGGTTTGAATATGATGGCCCCACAGTTATAGCGCTGACTGAAAATATAGGTTAGAACATGCCTGGAAAAGACAATACAATACAAAATTACTTTTTAATCTGATATCTGTGACCAACCATGAATTGTATTTTAGTATCAATCCCTTTTTTTTGCTGGTCAATATTATTTTAAATTTGATTGGTGCTTTTGCTCTTGGAAACGTCTGGGAATCTCTGATTGGATCAAGTTATTATCTTGAATCTATTCCTGCTTCTGTTAAACTATTTTATTTGCTAAAGCATTCCAGAAGTTTAAATGGCTTACATCTGTCAGAGGGCAAGGTGTATGTAGGGTCATTCATGAATAGTTTTATGGCTGAATGTCAGGACTGTAAGTGCTTTTATCTACATGTAATTACTGTAGATTACTCCCAGGCCGCATTTCCGCCTAGTGTACCACTAACCTATGCAGCACAACATCAACTTTTATAACAGTTTAAAATAACACTCACCATTTGTCAATAAAAGCATTTGGGATGTGAGAACATGGGGCAGAGAACAGCAATGAAGGATTTATCTGCTTATATCTGAATCCTAACAGCATATTTAACAGCTGTCATAGATCAAATACCTGGAGATCTCAACCAAGCTATGGCCCGTAAAGAAAAAATGTGGGTGGGAAATGTTTACTTCTTTCTATCAAGAGATTTCCACAGCATTCTAATAATACAAGATTACATTGTTTTACCGTTCTACCCTGTTCTCTAATGCCTTGTGTGATATACGCTCTTGACAACTATCCCACATTTTCTGGCAGTTTTCTGAAATTCTAACCTACTTCCCAATTGTAATGCGACTTTTAATACTCCAGTTTACATCCATTCTAGATAATGGTACCAGACCACTTTGCTGAGTTGGTTGTGTAATCCTGGCTACAGCATCTGTTACTGCAGACACCACCCTGTTTGTATTGCATGGTGGTTTCCACAGCAACTGGATTCATATTAAAACAACTACTATTTTTTGGTATAACAACAGAAGTTTCAGGTCAAAACGTTAACTAATTTTTCTCTCTTCACAGATGCTGCCTGACCTGCTGCGTGTTCCCAGCAACTTCTGATTTTATTTCAGATTTTCAGCATCTGCAGTATTTTTCCTCCTATATTCTGGTGGCTGCTGCTTTCTCCTGTGGTTGATAATGACCCATTGATGGCAACTTGTATCATAAGAATTACCAACATAAGAAATTCAGCTGCTTAGTTGATGAGCAGCCAAAACCACTGAACTGACTTCATGGTTGGTCTGACCAGGGAGAAAGTCCCAACAGATTATACTGTAAATTGCAGTGACTGTGTGTTCTTTGGGTTAATGATGCAAACAATTAAGTGAAATAAGAACTAATAATGCTAATCCTTGTAATTGTTCATTGACAATCTCTCAAATTCAGTAAGAAAGAAATAATAATCATAATAATAATCCTTGCATTTGATATAGAGTCTTATATCAAGATGGATATTCTTTCAGTCCTATTTATCAATTGGGCTGTGGCTGCAGCTCGGGCACTGTTGACCAATGACTCCAAGAGGTGTCTTTAGCTAACCTGGAAGGACCCTGTGGTTTGGAATTTGAGATCACCTGAATAGCAATTTTCGCATGAACCAATAGAGTTTGGCTATTTCTTTGCTGCTGCTGCTTATTATTATTATTATTCAACACCAAAGAACACAGCAGTGCCTGAGGTGTAGGCACGACTTGCTTACTTCTCTGCAGGCTCCAGGTGGCTGAGTTTCCTTAGATGTATTTACCTGAGATTTAGTTAAAAGTGCTGCATACATTTTACAGTTCCTGGAGGCTATTAATCTGGCTTCTGTATTTCAGCTTGGAACAGGGAACTGTGATTGTATTGTGTAACAGAGGTCATTGAATTGCTGCCAGGGATCTGTCAAACATTTTAGGTAAGTTTTTGGGTACAAGTGCACGTCAAGCTCTATAAATCTGTCATCCTAACACCATCTGGGGGTTATGTTAACACTGAGCTTAAGGGAACCTTCTTAAATTGATGATGAAAGAGTCAGAGGATAAACTAATAATAATAATCTTTGCATTTTATATAGCGCCTTATCACGCCATCGAACCATCTCAAATATACTGTAAAGTGGATTGACTGTGTATTTTGTGGGTGAAAATTGCAGATTTAGAGAATTATTATAGACGGGACTGGATTCCCATGAAAATAATTTTGGTGGAGTACATTAAGATATCAATTTCTTTGCCAAATCCTCTCACATAAGGACCTGGATTAAGCAGCTAGTGCAGAGTAGGCCCGTACACAGCTTTGGACTCGGACCCCGAGAACATCACGGTGGTTGGCACATCACTGCACTTGTGGGATGTCAACAACAACAAGTTGTATTTATACAGCCCCCATCAACAACAACAAGGTTTCATTTATAGAGCGCCTTTCACGTCGGGAGGACGTCCCCAAGGCGCTGGACAGTTGGGTCAGGACCCGAGCAGGGGGGAAATGGTTAGGGTGAGGGGAGGGAAGGGAGGGAGCGAGGAGGGGGTAGAGAGTCGAGAGGGGAGCTGAAGGCACGGTCAAAGAGAAAGGTCTTGAGACCGGCCTTGAAGGAGAAAAAGGAAGAAGTGGCGAAGGCACTGGGGGATGGAGTTCCAGAGCCTCGGGGCTGAGAGGCTGAAGGCCCGGCCACCGATGGTAGGGCGGTTGGGGCGGGGGATGTGGAGCAGACCGGAGCCAGAGGAATGGAGGGT